TGAATAGTTGGTTCCATTAAGGACTTATGTGACAGCTGTGCTGATAGTTGGGCTGGGAGATGTCATGGTGGTAAGACCTTACCAATTAGAAAGTGCAACTTTACAAAGGTTCAGTAACCAGAATGTGAACACTGGATAAAGGAAGTAGTGGAAATCATTAGTTAGGCCTTCAGAATATACTAGAACTTATCAACTGGGAAAGTGACATGCACAATCGAAAGTGTGCTCCATGGTATTCACTTATACCTGAAGTGGAATCCAAAGTGCCACTTCCTGACTGAGCTATCCTTGAGCTAGTTAGTTATCACCTTGCTCCTGCTTTCTCATCTGTAAAATAGGGATAAGAACAGGAGCTACTCACAAAGTTGCAATGATGATTACACATTATCTATGCCAGACCTTTATCATGTGCCTGCCATTTAGTCACCTGACAAATGACAGCTCTTTCTGTCTACCAGTAAGTATCCAAGACCTTCCTACAGCTGCCACCTTGGCCATGCCCTTTCTGAGCTTTATCTGAATTTCCAGTGTGGAAAGAAATGTCCTCAGTGGTGGTTTCTTTCTCCTCCCCTCATAGGTTCACAAACCCCAGTGTGCTGAGTTTAGGCAATAAAAAGCAATGCCCCACCCCTATGCAGGGAGAGACTGGGAACCACTCCCCAAAAGAAGATGGCACAGATCTGCCTGCTGAAATTAGAGAATGAGGGGTGCTACAGGGCCCATTGGAGGTGGGAGGGCTGGCACAGTTGCTGTGGGCATTCCAGAACTAAGAAGGCTTCCATCAACCAAGTGAGAAATGAAATGACCAGATAGAGCTGTACCACAGGAGTCAAGAAAGTGCAGATTTGAGGAAGGGTAGGACAGTGTATGGGCTTGGCAAGAGAGGAGTCCAGAAGGTGGCATCACACCCAGGCTACAAGGGGTACAGGGCGAGACTCAGAAATGAAAGGAGAGGAGCCATGGAGATAGCTCAGCAATCTGAGCACCTGCCTAGGCAAGCACAAGGACCTGGGTTCTCTCTCCGGTACTACATGCTGTACCGGCCCCACACCCACCCTGGGCGTGCCAAAAGGGCCACCAAGACAGGGCATGGTGGCACACACCTGTAATCCCAGAGCTTGGGAAGCTTAAACAGGAGGATCACTATGAGTCCAAGCTGTGTAGTGAGATCCTGTACCAAATACATAGAATTAAAAGAAAATGAAAGGAGAAAGAACGCACAGCAGAGCTCTGTCTCAGCTGTGGGTACACTAGATGAATCTAATAGGTAGTTCAGAATGGACAGGAAAATCCTCCATATGGCTGGCAAGCTGAAACTTAGCAGTGTAAATGCAACTTTATTAGACTTGGGTAAGTTCTCTGAGTGTGTATTAAACGTGAAATTGATGTTTTAAAGCTCCATCTTATAATAGAAAACTGTCAAGTCCTGCTGGTATAAGGTCTAAGGCCCAAAAAAAAAAGTAGAAGAGGAAAAAGTGGGCATTTCTCTTTCACTCGCTGAACATGTTTTCCCAAAATAAGGAGGAAAGGAGCTGCTTGGATTCTTTCCTGTTCTGAGCCTGTTTTCACACCAATTTGCCTCTCCCAAGCCAGCAGTCTTCAGTTCCAGTATTCCCTATGAAGTGCTCAGTCTGGAGAGGGCTCTTAGGGAGCTGCTCTAGCCCAAGGCAACTTTATTTTATTGAGAAACAAATATCAACGAGACAGTTTCAAAGCTGATTAATAGGACAGTTTCAATAATTAATACATTGTACATTGTTATCTTCTTAGTGGTTATCCATAGTACAAGAAGCAGGGAGGATATCCTGTCCAAACACTATTAGTACAAATCTTTCTTCTCATTGAATTAAGCGAAAGTAGCTATATATCTATCCTAACTAATCTGTATATACAGATGCAAAATGGTCCTTCCTTTGCATCTCCTTTTATGTTCAGTCCTGTCAGAGATGGGTATTCCATTGACATCTAAATACTATAGGTGCGTGAATTCAGCAAAACAATCCAACATAGTCCAGCAGTCTACAATAGTAGTGGATTTTCTGCAGACGTTGTTGACTTGAGCCTTTCACAGCTCAGCATATTAATATGGCTTTAGTTTATATACCACGTTTTTATACTTTTCTGCTGGATGGTTAAGACCAACAGAAAGCAAGACCTATATAACAAGAAGTGTAACTTTTGTATCTGCCAAGGTCAGTCAAATTCCCTCAGGATTTACCCTGAAACCCTGTACCGCAGTTTGTAGATCCTTTGTCAGTGTCAGCCATGTGGATGAGTCACAGCCATTGCTTGACCAATTTGCTCTCTGTGAAAGCCTGAGAAAATGTTTTCTCTCCATGTGAGTCTCCTTAGCCCAAGGAAACTTCTAAGGCCACCCCAACATGAAGCAATAGCTTCGAGACACTGAGGTTTGCAGGTCTGGAGGACAAGGATTCTCTGTCAGTCTCAAAGACGGTGGTCAGTAGAAGTTTAACTGAATGCCTTCCTTCTGAATGTGTGGATGCTAAATTCACAGCCTATCAAAGATGTTACAGAAAAAAGGGCTATCTATACATTTAAAGACATTCAAAAAGAATTTTAAGGCAATGTATGGACCTTCTTAGGATCTTTATTCAAACATTAAATACAAAACAATCAGGAACTTTGGACACTGCTTACATATTTGATAGCTTTATTTGCCATGCACAGCATTTTACTTAAGCTTTAAATGCTCTCATCACTTTAATATAAGAGATCTGGTATAAAAGCTAGATCTGCTGCTTATTTTGAAAAAATGGGGGTATCTGGCCCCAGATGGGCCATCTCCGCACTCGATGACTATGGTCAGCCACGGTAGCTCTGATTCCCTTAGTCTCCACCTCAGGCCCACCATAAATGTCAGTTCTCCTGACACTGAAGCCCCAAACAGGACCAGTTTCTCATCCCTCTAAGCTCTTAGAAGCCACTGAAGTTACTAACTCCTCACGTATGCCGCCTGCTTTTGGTCATCTGTAGATGTCTTATCTCCACCCCCTCTCTCCCAACTCTTGCCAGACCACTAAACTAAGGCCTTTAAAAGCCCTAAACAATGAAAAGATTATGTAAGTTTCTCCCTATACGTAATTCATAATAAAGCCTTATTTTCAAGGTGGTGGTGTTTACAAGTAAGCTGAAGACAAACTTACTACACTACAAAAATATCCACTACAGAGCAGTTGGAACAATAGTAAAATGAACTTCATGTAACTTTTTAGATTTTTAACATCCCACAGTATTTGCTGTTATGTTTTTCCTCTGAACTACTCAGCAATATGTTTCAGATATTTGGGGGTTCATCCCTCGTTTTTTCAGTGTTTAAGAAAAAGGATATTATATAACTAAAATGCCATTCTTATACCTCAAACTGTAACTTTCATACAATATTATACAGCTCAAATTCAGAAGTTCCGAACTGTCTCCATAATGTCCTTGAAAGCTATTTTTCAATCCAGAGTCTGATCAGGATCATGCATTGCATTTGATCTTCTGTATTTTTTCTCGTCTAGAAGGCTTCCTGATGTTTCTTTCAATTGCTGTCATTTTAAGGAGTCCAGGTCACTTGTTTTGGAGAATGTCACAGCCTAGATTTGCCTAGATGTGCTATTTCTATAGGTGTAATACCTAGCAGTGTTTCTCTTTTGTCTTGACTACTAAAGAGTTATGTGTTATATGTGTTTCTCTCCAATTGGCAGGTCTCCTTATGCCTTTTGCCCACTTTTTTTTTTTTCAGAACTGGGGATTGAACTCAGGCCCTTGTACTTGCCAGGGAAGCACTTATTTTACTGAGCCATCTCCCCGGGCCCTTGCCCACTTTTTAGAGGTTCTTTTTCTTATGTACTTCTAGATCTCTGTGCATTCTGGATATTAATCATTAATATATTTTCTGGGTCTCAACTTTTAGGAAACAGTACGATTTAAGCTGAATCACATGACTACCAAAGCAGAATGTTTGGAGTTCAAATTCCAGTGCTGCCACTTACTATATGCCTCAGGACAAATGGTTTAAATGATGTCTCTGCTTGAATGATCTCATGTCTAAAGCAGGGGTGATAATGGCGAATGTCTCTTAGCATAATAGGGAGACTAGATGTATTGATAAATGTCATGCTGTCAGAACAGAACCTGGCACAGCAACTAGTGTCTGCTAGGATAGCTCCTATGTTATAGCTCCTATGTCATTTTGACAACTCAGTGGGCTCATTAAAGCTTTCATCCTCCGAGTCATCCCCTGCCTCATTTTGAACTCTCCTGCAACCCCATGACAACTTTTGGTCGTAACACACTTTAATATGCAGGATGACTCCACCTGCGCACGAAATGATGTACCTCAGACCTTTTCTTTCCCTCACGAATGGGAAAAAACCCTCCTTCACCTTGAAAGCCTACAAACACCCTAATGATTTTGTACTCAACTTTGAGACCTAACAGTATAACGGTTGGTTCTGCAACCCTGTAAGAAAGTTCCTCCTTGTGAATGGCGACCCCAACACCTCACAGAAACCTATACCCCTCCCAGCCTCTCCTTGGGTCTCCTACCTCAACTTGGACCTTTCTTTGTATAGTGTTTCAAATCTTAACAAACTCATGACACAAATGCACACAGAAGGTACGTCGTAAATGCTCCCTAACTAAATGAATGGGTGGGGAAGGATGGAATGTTACTGAGTTGTTAGGTAGGGTGATAAAGGGATGCTGGCTGGCCAAGCGGGCCACTGATTGGCTGGAGCTCAGGATGCGGATAGAACGCTGAAGACCAGAGGTTTCTTCAGAGAAGTTAGTTGCTACCCAGCCGGTGTAGCAGTGGGTGAAGAGCCCTGCCGCCTAGTTTGAAGGTCCCAAAGCAGCACCCAGGCCTGCGTGCCCCGCCCCGCCCCGCCCCGCCCCGCCCCCGTCCCCGTCCGGTCCCCGCCCCCGCTCCCCCCCCAGGGTCCCAGACGCGGCCGGCAGAGGCTGCTCCAGCGCCTGCGCACTGCGGACCCACAGCCACCGGTGGTTCCCAGCCGGGCTCTGAAGATGGCGGATCGCGCTGTCGCCGGTGGTGGCAGCACATCCTTGCGGGGGCTGCGGGAACGCATGGGTGAGCCGCCGGCAGCTGGGGAGCACCTCGGCCGCGCGGGAGGCGGGGTTCCGTGGCTTCGGGGAGCGGCGGCGCGGCGCGGCGGACTCTTGTAAACTTTTTACCGGAGTTGCCTAGCGCCGTCGGGTCCCCCCTGAGCCTCGCGATGGGACGCGACGGGGCGTCCTCGGCCTGGGGCGGGAGGGACACGGCCGAGCTCGCTGCTGCCCGCCACGCCGCTGGTGCTGGAGCTAACGGTACAGACCCGGGCGCGGCCGAGCCCCGCCTCGCACCGCGGGGCGCAGCCGGCTGTGGAGGAAGAGCGCCCGGCCCGCGGCCGCAGCGGCGCTTCCCGCTCGGAAAGTTCACCCTTTCCCCGGTGGCGCTCACGCCCTCTTGGTCGCGGCCCAGGGAGGAAGGCGCTGGGGGAAGGGGAGTTGAAAGTTGCGGGAGGGGGAAAAAACTTGACTCTGGGCATCTCCTGATTTGTCTGCTGTGCCACATGACTTAGACAAGATGTCACCTTCCGTGGGACATCTTGCAGTCCGTTAGGCCGAACTGAGCAGCACTTTGGAGTGCTCTCTTCTCCCATCACCAAAAATACTCCCCCATCCCAAAAGGTGTTCATTTAATCAAATTTGGGAGCGGAGCGCATTGCTTGGTTCCGGAGACTGCACCACGACTGAGCTACATAGTATTTTTTACTCGTAGGAGGTTGCTTTTAGCCTGTTTTTCGGCTAATTCCTACTACTGAGTAAAATGATTTTGTTGATTATTATTGTAATTCTTAGGGATTTTTTCACTGCCAATTAAAAAGCTAGTTTAGACTGACACTGGGAGGCCGCATGCTACCGAATAACGCTGTGCATCACCTCTGGAAGACTGGGTCAGAAGCAAATATGTTCTCACGGTGCCTCTCGCCTTCACCAAGGGAGTGAGCTTGCAATGGATTATTGCATTGCTTGTCCACACCTAAGGTTCTCTGATAATTAATTGATTCATTGATTGCTATTAACCAGTATGCATCCCAGTATGTTGAAGGAGCTGTGGTCAGGATAGTGCCCAAAATTTTTGTATGTGGAATGTTAGAGTTTAGTTTAAAATTGCTGGGCAGTTGCATGAATATACAGCATTTCAAAATAAATTTAAAAGTGAAACCCTACCAAAAAAAAGGCTAGATCTAAAAGCCTCATTTAAATCCTTCCTATTAGGAATTGAAGACAGATACTTGACTTTCACGGCGCTAGCATGCTTAGAACTGTTGAGTTAGAATTGTGTCCTGAACAAAATACCTTATGTAGGTCAGCGTAGAGTGTGCAAACACTTACTTTCCTCAGTTATAAATGTAACCATTAGTGGATATCATCTATAAGACATAAACGTAGACGTCTGCATTTACCAAGCTGTTTTCTATGGCTAGCACTGTGCTCGAGCTGTAAGAACATATTTTAATAAACTGCGTTTCACATTTAGAAAGATTTGCTTTAAAATGAAGGTTGTTTGCACATTTTGACCAGAGGAGCCACTGACTTGTCATCTTTTTCTTCTTTCTTTTCTCAATTCTCACACGACTTTTTAGTTTAGAATAAGATGTTCAAAGAATAGTTTCTGCAAATCAAAAAAACTACAGAGACTGAGAATCAGATGACTGTAGAATTTTAGAGTGGAAGGAAACAATGTTACTCTAGTGGCCCACACATCCGCTAGAAAATCCTGAGCAGCTACAACTTAAATGTGTTCTCTAACAGGGAGCTGAATATTTTTCCACATAGCCATTCTGCAGTAGGTAGCTTTAAATATAGAAAATTGCCCCCAGTTTTATTCAGGACATACTATCTTGGTTTGGATATAGGAGTCTGCTGGAAGATTCTACTTCCTGCAGAAGATAATTCCAAATTTATACAATTGTTGCAAGAATTAAATGAGGTACTGGGGCCGGGGAGATGGCTCAGTAGAATAAGCACCTGGGTCTGCAAAAATAAAGTACTGCGGATGAACTTTGTAAGTGGTAAGTTGATAAATATTATTTGGTATGACTGTTCTTACAAAACTACCATAAATATTAAGATTCAGAATTAAGTTTTAGTACTAATTTCTACCCATTTTCCTTATCTTCAGGCAGAAGGCAACCTTTTATCTTAATTTAGGTTTAGTGTTAGGATAAGAACTACAGACCTGCACCTTGCTATTAGTGCTGTTAATTTTATGTGTGTCTGCACTGATACATACATCTAACTGAACATTAAATCCTTTCTTCAGTGTAGTTGAATGAAATGTTCACTTTGTTAAGTCTGAACATGAAGACTTTCTCCCATTGTTGGTACATTTTCAAAGCCTGTCCATTTCATGAATCGATTTCGTGCCAGTAGGAATTTGGATAGAGTGGTCTAAAGAGCAGATCTGAGATTACTACATTTGTCTTTATATAGTTCAGTTCATTATTCCCACCATACCTACTTCTAAGGTTATTTGTGTTTAATAAAATCTTTAATCTGGTAAAATTATACATGTTGAAATTATCCTTATCATCAACTAATTTGTGTCATATACACACTACCAACCTTAAGGCTTCTAGGCAGGAGAACTAAATGTGCAAAAACAGTACTCATATAAAAATGTTGCGAGTGGGGGGGATATGTGGCAAGGTTTCATGTATAGACTGTATTTAGGAATTTTTGCTAATACACATGTCTCAAATCCAGAAGTTAACTGTTGAATATTAAGGAAGCTGAGAAGAGTTTCACCTTCAAATTTAGCTCTGTCATAGATTGTAAAAAAAAAAAATCCTCCTTTCTCTTGAAATGATGGTCCTGATGGCAGCTCCTGTGATGCTGTTTTGATTACAGTGTAAAATGGCTCCCAGAGAGCTTTCCCCAGGAGCAACTAAAATTTCAGAGTTTTTATAAGTGTGAGGATAGTCCCTCTGTTCCCTTAATTATTTTAACTACCTGTCTTTAACAACTATTTTTTTTGATAAATCATAGGGGTGTGTATCTTGTGCTTTTACACAAGGATAAAACAAGAGCTTTCTGTGTGCTTTTCCTGACCTGAGATGCCTAGGGGCATTGTTAGATATGGTCATAATGAGATTAAAGAGTTCAGGGATCCCCTATAGTTTTTTGTTGTTGTTGCTGCTGCTGTTTTGGCATGAGGGATTGAACTCAGGACCTTGCACTTGCCAGGCAGTAGCTTAAACCACTGAGCTATCTCCCTGGCCCTAGGGATCCCCTATGAAAATACCCATTTATAGCCTGTAGTTTTTCTCGCTCTCAAATTATGCCCTCCTAATCTTATTAATCTCCCTGAAGTCTTATTAATCACCTTCCTGCTATATATGTAAGATGTGTTTGAGCAATTTGCATTTAGATTTGTTTGCTTAACATTTTTCTATGGACAGTGATATGTCCTTGAAGATTCCTTGAGGACATGGGTCACCCTGCACCTTCACTGTTCATCAGAATAGAGCTTGGGGGGCTCAGGATTTCAGCGCAGTGATGGAGCTTCTGCCTAGAATATTAGAGGTCCTCAGTTCAGTTACATACACAAGGGCAAATGCCTGAACGCCACACCTGGAAGAGAGGCTTGGGCATTTTTTTAAAGTGACTTAAAAAAATAAATACAGTGACTTAGATGATGCTAGTGTACAAGTAGAGTAGACAGCCGCAGTCCAGTTAATTTATAAATACATTTCTTAATTTTGGGCTTAATCTCTGAGGATTCAGTGCTAAAAATTTGCTTCCAGATTTTGATCCATAAATTCTTAACCTCTTCTTCTCTAAATTCCCAAGTGTGGCAAAACTTTTTTTCAGTTCTTTGCCAACTCAGTTCTTCTAACACTTGGTGTCATGTTTTGTTTGAGCCATTTGGGAAAGCTATTAATCATTGGCTTCCTATTCAGCCACAAGCTTGTGCTGCCACTGCCACTACCAACTCCCTTATAGCCACAGACATCTCAGCACATCCATAGTAAACACTGAATTTTCACTAAAGTTCCGTCAAGCTTCGTACACATTCAGTGCATCTTTGCTATGGAGCCGCATCAGGATCTTTACTGAAAGTGATGTGACCTTTTATTATCAAGCATGTAGTTGAGTAAGCTTTGCTAACTCCCATGTTAACCGTTTGTACCCTTAATATCTAATTTGTTTCCTTTATCACCCCATATTGCAGTTGCTGAGGCTCAGGCAATTGCCGAAGAAAGACGAAGTCAAAGTGGAGTTAGTTCCTTGGCCACTCATTCACCAAATATAAGATCAGCAGTTAAACCTGGTACAGTTTCTGTAATGCTTTGATAGATGTCAGAATGTTGTCCCTTTAAAATATGATATATTAATATCTCACTGTATGTTTTTAGTTATAGACGGATCTGTGCTTAAAAATGATATAAAACAAAAGTTAGCAAAGGAGCGCAGAGAAGAAAGGAAAAGACAAGAAGAAGGTATGTTGTAAAAGTTCTTAATTTTGTGTGAAGGTTCATATTTCTAAATTGGTTTTACTTTTCCTATGCTTATATGATAGAGTATGACTTCTGTTATGTAAGTGTATTCAATTGGAGTAAATCTATTTAATCAGGTTTTTAAAAGCCCAGGAAAAATCTTTGACTAGCTGCATGCAGTAGTGCACACTTGTAATCCCAGCACTCCGGAGGCTGAGGCAGAAGGATTACTTTGAGTTCAAGGTCAGCCTGAGATACATAGTGGGTTCTGGGGCAGCCTGAACTGTGTAGCGAGACCTTGTCTCAACACAGAACAAAACAAAACAAAACACTTGTAAAAACAGATTGACTAAGAATTCAGTAAATGATAATTCTTAAAAAAAAAAGAAAAGAGGTATCTTTTTATGGGTTTCTGTGCTTCTAAAGTGTAATATTTTAAAATAAATTACAACGTAAAAGCACGATCTTTCAGCTGAGTATGGTGGCACATGCTTATAATCCCAGCACTTGGGAGGTGGAAGCAGGACGCTTACTATGAGCTTGACATCAGCCTGGGCTCCATAGTGACTTCAAGGCCGGCTTGCATTACGTAGCAAGACCCCGTCTCAAGAAAACAAAAGAAGAACATCTTCATGCAACTTAAAAGTATACTTTTCTTTGTTTCTTTCCCCAAAAGTATACTTTTCAATTATGTATCTTTTGTCTTGGATCTTCTAAAGCCATTGACAAAACTAGTGCTAAACTTGATTCAGCTTTATCTTTATTTTGATAGAGAAGATGTCAAAAGAAACACTGTTTAAGGAGAGCATTTTATAGCTGCATAGAAATCCTCCAGGTTTTAGTGGCAGAAAATTGGAACATAAGAAAAAAATGCTTCTCACTTTGACAAGCGCTGGGACCAGGTTCCATCCCTGGTCCCCCATGCCAAATCAGCCCCGCCCCCGGGGCTCACTGAGCCAGTGACTGAGTTCGGGCTGTGATGGCACACACCTGTAATCTCAGCACGGGGGAGGCTGAAAACAGAAGGATCACTAAGAGTCCAGGCTGCATAGTGAGACCCTGTACCATGTACCAAATACATACAATGAAAAAAGAAAGAGAAAATGTTTTTCTATAATATAGTATATAGTTAAGCCCACTAATCTAAGCCCTGTGTGCTCAACGTGGCCTGTAGGTACAGACTAAGAGAGAAGCTTACTAGTACACAAGAGCAAAGCATACATTTAGGCCATGTATTTTTGTTGCAGTTTATATTTTAAAATACAGCATATTAATCTGGAGAAGTTTGACTTCATCTCAAGCTAACGAAAATATTACATGAAAGAAAATATTTCTTTTTAATTTGGAATTTTGGTTTGGACAAGACGAGTGTCATCAGGCCTAAAAGACCCCAGGTTCTCCAGAGTGAAATGAACACCCTATGAAATAGAGCTCACTTCTGTAATACATTGTTAAGTTACTGTTATAGGTTGTATTATTTTAAGAAGCAGAATGAGACGTGTTAACTTTTTCCTTCTCTGTGTGTAATGTGGAAAACTTAAAGTATTTTCTTGGCTCTTGCACCTTGAAAATGTATTTGGAATATTTCAGCCAATAAGGAACTACAACTCCTTGAAAAAGAAAGAAAGGCCAAGCTCCAGTATGAAAAACATTTGGAAGAAAAACAACGAAAGCTAAGGGAGCAAAAAGAGAAAGATGAGCGGCGAAGAATATCTGCAGAAGAAAAAAGAAAACAAAAATTAGAGGAAGAAAGGGTATGTAGGGCGGGGGATATACCTTGGTGGCACAGTGCCTGCCTGGTAAGTACAAGGTCCTGAGTTCGATTCCATGTACCACAAAACAAGGGTATGTCATTTTGTAGCCTGTTCATCTCATGGTAAACACTATTGTCTGGGTGTGAAATACTGTTTTCTTGTAGTCCCTCTGTACCTTTTCTGGCCTGTGGGAAGGGAAACAGTTCCTGTTCTTTGGGCTCTTTTTGTCCCTTGCTGAGAAGGGCCCAGGGGCTTAGACCCACTAACTTCAGGCAGGAGGAGCCATATAAACCTTCAGGATGTGGCCCAGAGGGTACCTGCAGTCTGGGGTTTGCTCTAGCATTTCTTAACCCAATGCCCAGAGACTACTAGGGGCCCCGCCCCTGCCCCTTGACCAGCCTGTCTGCCTGATTTTGCCCAAGCCCCATGGTTGTGACTCCTTAGCCCAGTGAGCATTTGCTGTCCCTTGCCTGTTCTCTGGTCCTCCTCCCATGTCCTACAGCTCTCTCCCTCCCTGTCCCTGTCCCTCTGTTGCTCACAGTCCCTTTCCTCCTGGGGCCCCTCTGGACCTGTGATTCATAGTCAGCATTCTGCCTCTTGTTCCATGGCACTGCCCAGTCTTCCTCTGGCCGCGTCTTCTGGTGTCATTGGCACGCTGTTGGTGTGAGTCAGTGCCTTTGTTGCGCCCTCTCTTTTTCCCTTCTATGCTTCTTCAGTCCGTTTGCCTTTGGTTCTGTATGCTGGGCCTCTGGCTACCTTCTCTCACCGTGTGAACTTTTCTTTTTGACACTAAATATTTTTCTTGTTGGCCAGTCTGCTACTTTTCTGTGAGTATGCTTGCCTCCTTTTGAATCAGGCATGTGACGCCAGTTCTGTCTTTATTCCAGTGACTGTAGTTCTCTCAATATGTATTTCTCTTTGTCTGTCTCTTTCTCTCATTTTATTATTTGATTGATTGGTTGATTTTTGGAGTACTGGGACTTAAACCCAGTGTCTTGGCAGTGAGCTGCATCCCCAGCCCTGTTTTATTTTTAATTTTTTTGTTTTCAGACATGGTCTCACTGAGATGCTGAGGCTGGGCTCGAACGCATGATTTTCCTTCAGCTCCGCAAAGTACTGAATTGCAGGCTTTTACCACAAGGCCTGGCTTCCCCCTCTTGCTTTCTGTTGCTCTAGTTTTAGTGCTCCTTGTGCTCTCCTTTTCGCTTTGGCTCCACTCTGCCCAGGGCATTGCTTTGTCCTCCTCCGTGCTGTTCACTCTTCCTCCTTCCTGGTTGGCCAGTTGCTCCCACAAGCCTCACTCCCAGTCCTGGGCCCCAGCTGGAGATCATCCTTCTTCTAGGACTGCTCTTCTGCCATTTCCTCCCCATCTGTGGTCTACTACCTCTTCTCCTCTCTTTCTGAACTTTTTCTATTGCTGGTTGACCTCTTTATGCTTCATGGTCCAATATTTGGTAAAAATCTCATTCTGAATTTCTGTAACTTTCTGTCATCCTCTTTGAAACATCTCCTTATTTTACTTCTCAGGGGTAAAGAGATGAAATCCAGAGGGGTAGAAAGGACAAGAGGATGGAGAGAGGAAAGGAGAGACAGACAGACAGACAGAGGGAGGAGGGGGAGAGGGAGAGAGAGAGGAGAGGAGAAGGGAGGGCAGGAGGATGGGAAGAAAGAGAGAGAACTAAATGAAGACAGCTTGAGAACCAAAACATCTAAAATAGAAAACACAGGATGAGGGAGAGTCTCCTTGGAGGAGAGAGAGAGAGTCCTAAGGACAGAGAAAATAAAAGCAGAACCATGTAGGTGAAAGAGGAAGAGAAGAGGGTGTAGTAAAACAGTATTGTGGACAGAAAAGGCATGGGGGACATGGTGAGGGAAGTGGCAGGAAGCCCGGGAGAAGAGGTAGAAGAGAATCCCTGAGAGCTCCTGAGGGCAGTCTCCACACAGAGCAGGGAACCTGGAACCCAGAAAGAAGGCTAGGCATGGAAAAAGAGGAGTTCCAGAGAGCAGAGAAGTAAGGACACATGGAAGGGGCATGCACATGCTCAGGGAACAAACTCAGGTGTGAGCTCTGGGGGCCGCAGATGCCGGAAGAAATCTGCAAGAGCACAGAGGGCCAGTGCAGCTGCAAGCAGTGGGATAGAATTCTTAGGAATCAGAAATATATTAATAAGGCAAGAGTCATCTCTTATGATAGTCTGTTACAGTTCCAGGGAGTCTAAGTAATTTAGAATAACTCACTTTCTGTTAGTGTAATTTTCAGATATTGTCATTAGATAAATTTTATTCCACTTTCCTAGTATTTTAAATCTTTGCCCTCAGGGAAATGATGGGGACAGTCTAAGAACAATGTTGCTATGAAACTGGTGTTAGGGAAGAATAGAAAATGTCTAGCCCTGAAGTTGATGTGTTTTTGCAGGCATAGTCCGTGGCATGTCACAGTACAGGGATGAGAGGCTGCTGAGCGGAGAACTCGCTTCTGGCAGGTTTTTGTTGTCTTGATTTGTTCTGGTGCTGTGGATCGAAGCCAGGGCCTTGCACATGTTATACAAGTGCCGTCCCACTAAGCTACATCCTCAATAAATTATACAGGCAGGGCATCTGGTTAATGGAAGTAGCCTTTTCTTTTTCCCCTCCCTTCTTGTCCCCTCCTACCCCTTCCTGTCCCTTCCTGTCTTCTCCTTTGTCTTGTAGTTTGGAGCTTGAGACCCAGGTCTTTGCACATGTTAGGCAAGCGCTATCCTGTTGAGCTACACCTCCAGCCCCACTGCACCTCATTTCTAGAGGTGCACTTCCTCCACTGTAGTGTGATGTTTAATTTCTGTAGTTATTCTGACCCATTTAAGTTGCAGTTGCGATCAGGATGTCATTGGTCATCTTTGTTGAAACTTTCCTAGTTAACACCAGAATTTACTTTTTATAGATAAGGGTAGAATTCTGTCATAAATTTCACTTATATATACATGTGTTGGTATTTTCCCCCATAATTCCACAAAAAATGTTAAGGTAATTTTAATAATATCTGTGTACCACACTCAATGATAAAGTCTGTGGTTTGGGGAATGAGGCAAAGGAGAAAGTTGAGGTAGAAAAATACTAAAGTATAAGGTCTGAGTAGCTTACATGAATGCGTACCACTGGGTCTTTGTAAAGTTGCTAGAAATAGGCTAAAAGTTCAATTTGAAATTTCCTCATATAAACAAAAATGGTAATGTGATCAGCTCCTTGTTGCAAGATCCATAAGATAAAAGGTAAGTTATTCATGAGAAGCATTGGTATTGATCAGCACCTGAAATGTATTTCCAGTGGTACAAAAAAACTTCTAGCTGATGAAGAAATTTGGTGATGGAGTTGGTTATCAGAAACACAAGTCAAAGTTATACTAAGCCATGTTTAAACACGTTTTGGCATTTATTTTCCATAGGAAAGATACAAAGCTGTTCTTTCTCGTACTTTGGAACGAAGTAATCGTATGGATCAGCGGCAGAAGAGATGGTCATGGGAAGGCTTGGCCATGATGAATTCTGAAAACAAACCAGGTAACTGATAATGCAGTTGCCAATTTTAAGTGTGTGAGTGTTCATGCTTCAGTATTGTCTGTGGGTAGAATACTGCCTTTCTAGGGAACTTTTAATCTTTATGTACTGAATGCAAATGCTCTACCTAGTAAGTTGATAAGAAATTTTAGGTCAAAGGCTTGTGTTATAAATAAAATTCATTGCCAGAATTCTAAGCTACAGGATTCAGCTGGATAAAGGGGTGAGAGTCTGACTCTGAATGTGAGCTATGTGTTCATTTTGCCCAAATGGTCTCTAATGTTTATAGTTCAACTTCAGTTTTATACCTGTGTAAGCACTTCCATTTTCATTAAAATATTAACGAAAGCAAAAAAAAAAAAGAAATTTTAGGTCATATGCCAGTGCAGAAGAAACAGGTAATAGTTTATAATAGATCTGAACTCAGTATATCCCAAATCTTACCTAAATTCATAATCAACCTAAGAATAATAAATAACTACACAGATTATACAGTGCATATTTAAAAAAATAAAATGTCTGCCTTGGTTGGCCTTGATGTATTATAAGTATCCCTATGTGTGGACAGAATGTTATACAATTTCATAAAACATAAGCTAAATTTATTAGCTTGTAAGGAGTGACTGTAAGCATCATGTGCCTAATTAATGCATGTGTGTGTTCCAAAGAACTATATCATGAAAACTCACTTTGTTTCTACTAATGATAGTTTCTTAAAATATGATTAAATGGTATATCTTAGTCAATAAACAATCTGTACCTACTGGAAAACATCAACAGGACTCATGTTTTCATTAAACAATGCCTGTGTCATTTGCAGGTCTTCAAATTTCTATTGCAAAGAGTAAATAGTTATTTCACATATTCTACCGAATTTCAATTTAAGAAAATCAGTTGTATGTACTTTTACAGTGCTGCTTCTTTAGGTTACAGAACATGACATTTATTTCAAAGAGTGCCATATTAGTTTATAATACAGAGAGATTAATATTTTGTATTTTCATCAATATAAATTCTTGTGTCATGATTTTTTTGTTATTTGAGACAGGGTCTCCCTATATAATCCAGGCTAGCTTCCTTGTGACAATCCTCCTGCCTCAGTCTCCAGAGTACTGGGATTACGGGCATGTGACACCATGCCTGACACCATATTTTTTATTAATAATATTAGATGAGTTTGTTGGGCTCCAGTAGCTCAAACTGAAACTTATTTTGACCAAAAGATGTTTCCATTAAGTGGCATAATGACTTATTTTTCTTTTAAGTTAATTTGTGTCTAGCTAACTTATAAATGAAATTGTGTTTCCTAAGCTAGCTGGAGTAGTCATTGAATCCATTACAGGTTGGTCTGCTATGTTACCTCTACAAACATAAAGTTGATAGGCAAGTGTAATTACCTTCTTTGTTTTATAGTTTATTGTAACTGTCCTACTAACCTGTTTTGAAACTATTTTATCCTTTTTTCTCATTAAAATGAATTTTTAAAAAAACTTCTAATAACAGAAATACATTAAGAAAATTTACCAGATTTGTCAAAGATCAAAACAATACCAGAAATTTATTCAGTTCTAAAGTAGAAAGTGTGCTCCATAGAACTTTCAGAAGTATCTTCAGAACTGGCTAAGAGGTACCACCCTTTTCAGTAAATTGAAAGTTGATGACAAAAAAAAAACCCTCAAGAAACTCATTCATTTCTATTTTGACATGCTTGTCTATGATTTTATTTTGATCATTTAATAGGTAGATCACATTGTATGTTTCACTCAGAGGTCTGTTTGCCCACAAAATAAATGTTAGTGATAGCTCTATTGGCAAGCTCTGCTTTGTAACTCTTCATAGCAACAATGCAGTGCTGTTGTAAACAAAAGTTACCTTCCACAGATATTCCAAAAGCTTCATATTTTCTTTTTCTTTTTCTTTTTTCTTTTTTTTTTTCACGGAACTGGAGATTGAACTCAGGCCCTTGTGCTTGCCAGGGAAGTGTTTATTCCACTGAGCCATCTCTCCAGCCCCTATGCTTCATATTTTCTGTTGTTTACATTTGATTAGTATTTCTCATTTTGAAGAAGTGAGTCCTGAGTGTGTATCAATGGCCATTCTTGGCACATGGTGCTTCTCATTGATCATTAAGCGGTTTTAAGCAACCATATCCTTCAAGGCAGAGGGGAAAATCCTTTTTCTTTCTGAAGGAAGGAATGGGTGTGATCTTGGCAAGAAAATCACAAAGATATCTCCATCATTCTCTCCAACTTAGTCATTAAAGGATACAAAGATAGCGGGGTGTGGTGTGACGCATGATGCACCTGTAGCTGCAGCTATTTGGGAAGCGGAGGCAGTGGAATCCCTGGAGGCCTGGAAGTCCGAGCCAGCATGGGCAGCTTACCAAGGCCCCCACCTCAGAACAAAAGATAAAGCAGTACCACTTCAAATAACAGTGTGAATCATAAAACGTTTCCTTTATAATATCAGTTGCCTTGACCTTTTTTTGAGCAGTGTTGATAGCTATAAAATTCTAATACTCAAAAGATTCTGGGCAGTATCAGTTGAACAAGTATAATGAATTAAGTTAGTGGCTAACTTAGTGGAAAAGATTTCTGGTTTTGTCTAAAACAATGTTATAATTGTAATATGTTGGGGCAAAGAGGTTTTTGATAGGTTTTTAACGGTGTTGCAGCAAGAAAGAGGCAGAGGGAAAAAGGGAAAGAGTCTTTATTATAAAGGGAAAGGAAAGGGGCTTTATTATCTTGGGGGACGTGGAGAGAATTTGGGAAGATAAGGGATTCTCTGGATTGGAACAAAGGGATGCTGAGACTTTTATGGCCTTTGGCCGGAGGCTGGGCTTTAGGGGGATGTTTAGATACGCCTGAGCTGACTGGGGCCTTCCCTGAGGTGGTGGGAAAGGTGAAAGGAAATCGCACCCTGGGCTGAGTTGGAGAAGAAGGGAGAAGTGGTCTCTGGGAAGGTAAGCTGTTGTTTTAAGGACTTCAGCCATATTGGATGACCACCATAATTATTCAGCAATTCCTACTAGGGCCAGAACCTATCATTGAGGATCCTTCTATCACTATTTCCACCTGTAGCCCTCTCAGTCCTGCCACCTTCTTGTAAACCTCTGATGAGGCCCCTCAGTACAGTTGTGTTGAGGTCCTACAGATGATCCCAACTCCCTTTCCTTACACTGCTATCAAAAACTAAAAATCGATGCTCCTCCTCAACGTGGGCATGGTAAAATGACACATTCGGATCATAGACACCCCCCTCTTGCTTCCCCTTTTGTGTCCTTTAATCATGATGACATGTACTCATAACATGCTGTCTTTTTAAACTTTTTTAAAGGTTTCTTCAGTCTCCAAGCGGTCACTAACAATAAACTTCTAGTCCTAGCTGAGACACCTGGCACTAACTTCTACATGGGTGTGAACTGTCATTCTGTCAGCTCCCCTCACCCCCAGGACAATGCCCCAGGTCAGCAGGAAGCAAGCTAAGAGATATGTCACCCCGTCCATAAGAACCAAAAGATGAGAATGATAGGTTCTGGCCCTAGTATGAATTGCTGAATTATTATGGTGGTCATCCAATATGGCTGAAGCTCTTAAAACAACAGCTTATCTTCCCAAAGACCACCTCCCCCTTCTTCTCCAACTCAGCCCAGGATGCAAATTCCTTTCACCTTTCCCGCCACCTCAGGGAAGGCCCCAATCAGCTCCTCAGGTGTATCTAAACATCCCCCTCAAGCCCCGCCCCTGGCCAAAGGCCATAAAAGTCTGAGCCTCCCTTTGTTCCAATCCAGAGAATCCCTTATCTTCTCAAATTCTCTCCATGTCCTCCAAGATAATAAAGCCCCTTTCCTTTCCCTTTATAATAAAGCCCGTTTCCCTTTTTCCCTCTGCCTGTTTCTATCTGCGACACCATTGAAAACCTATCAGTTTTCTTTTGTTCTAACTCACATTATATTATTTGAACTTTCAGAGCTCTTGCCGTTGCCACAATGAGCTTGGGAGGTCTTGAATTTTGTTACTGGTCTGAGTGCATCCTTTTTTCTCTTGTAGTAGTCTAAGTTGATCCTCTTACCATGCACACCCTCACTGTGCTTTCCCAAGCACCTTTGCATATAGCCCAGGTTCATTCATAGATTAATGAAGTGAGATTGTCCTAGGACCTTGCTTGTCACATGGTAAAATTAATCTCTTGTTCAACAACTAAATCCTTTAGAAATATTAGGTAGCGCTCATTGCAATGTCATATTTATGTACTTTCATTCTAATACATCTTAGTTGTTCCACAACAGTTAACTGTTTCACTGCCTAATTCCTTTCAGGGTCTAGCAAAGATTTAATAGAACAAGCAAGCACTAGTATGCTTTCATTAATATGTCTACTTGTCATATTAATGAGCTGTATAAAGAAAAGAGACAGATGATGACATTCAAGGTAATAATTAGCTAAATTGCACTGAAGGAGTAATTCCAAGTAATCATTTAAATGATTTCTTTACTAGTTTTTAATACAAGGTATATGTGGAAGATGCTTTTTGAAATAATTCACTTAAAGGTAAAGTATGGTGTACACTCTGAAGTGATGAATACTGTAATTAATGATTCTAGAAAAGTCTCTTTAAATTGAAATGAAACTTGTTCAATCCTCCAGAGAGATCAACATCTGAAACTGAACTGGAATTCGTAATCTAACATGTAAGGGCTTAAGTAACCCTGTTTGAAATTTTGGTTGATTTAAATAGTCTGCTTTTCTTCTCTTCATTTTGCCTCATAATAGCTGTTCCCACTACTTTGTCCTTTCTTGCAGTATGCTGATGGAGGACACAAGCCTTAATCGCATTTGAATCACTTACACTCTGTGGTTCACACTGCATAGTCACGTTATCATTTTAAGGGCTTTTTCAAATCATACTATAGGGCCAATATGTACTAACTTTACAAGTCCCCAAAAGAGAATTTCTCTTTAGAACAGATGTTGCTAGAATAATTCAAGTAAAATGGACAAGCGTCTACACTTAAGCTGGGTTGTTTAAGTTGTGACAACTGTACCAAATATTAGTATTCAATTTGGTTTTTTAAAAAAATACCAGTTGTAACTAAGGTATAGATACTTGTAGTATTATATGTCATGGATAATGTTTAAAGGTTTTACATTCCTCATTTGGGAACTTGGATGCTGTCAAATAATATCAGACATTTTCCCTGTTAATTTTTGTAATACTCTAAACTTTCATTTCAGGTAACAAAAAGTAAACTAGTTCTAAGTTTGGAGACATAGAAACTCTGCACAATATGTAAAATTAAGTCAATTTTTACAAACAAGGGTAGAGCCTATTTTTCTAAAATTTTGAGAATAATGACTCTCTTGAAATATACATATGAGTAGCTTTTCACAAGTAATTCTCCTTCATACTTGATCTCTAGGGAAAACAGAAAATAAAAGAAGCTCATCTCTGAACAGAAGAGACAGCAAAATGCATTCCTCTGATGACACAGGACATGTGGAAGATAAGCCAGGTGATAAGTTATGTTTAAGTGTAAATCTTACATAGTAGTTTAAAAGAGATATATTTATGTCACTTGGTAATGCTTTGAAAAGTCATTCCTAAAACTGGAAGTCAAAATATCCCTTCTTTAAAAAGTATGCATCAGTGCTACACTTATTAGGCAGAAATCAGAGAAGTCTGTTCTTAAATGAAATATGTATTTCCTGTCACCGGTTGACAAGGGGCCTATAATGAAGCTGATAAAAGAAATTACAAACTGTTGTTATAGATGGATAGGTTCTGTACTGGAGGATTTGATTCTGTCCAAACATTTGATCAGTTTCTGTTTAGAAGGTATAAATCACTGGCCACATTTTGGATGTCAGGGCTTTGCTCTGTTGCCTCGTGGCATGACCCGCATAGATCTTTTGTGCGTGATTTCACTGCTGATTACTGTTAAAAATTATATAATTATTACTAAAGTGCCTCTTAGCTTTTTAAAACCTTTTTCCCATAGCATTTCCCTTTCCCCTGCATTCATTGCTTTTGTTTTGTACTGATCCATTTATTTACAGAAGAGCCTACTTAACTGATTCAAGTTAAAGGCTATTGGAGGGGCTGGGAGATGGCTCAGTGGAATAAGCGCTTCCCTGGCAAGCGCAAGGGCCTGAGTTCAATCCCTGGTTCCACCAAGAAAAAAAAAAAAAAAAAAAAGAATAAGCGCTTCCCTGGCAAGCGCAAGGGCCTGAGTTCAATCCCTGGTTCTAAAAAAAAAAAGGCTATTGGAACCAATGCTGTTGTCACAGGGATCTTTATGTACATAAAGATTTATTGGAGCAAAGTGTTTACAACAAATTTCACTTTTGATAAAAGAATTCAGTGAGTAATCCCTGGGAGCTTTTGGTAGTGAATTTTTGCCTGTGAACTGGAATATGTCTGTAGGAGTCCCTGTCAAAGTTTTCTCATATGCAATTTTTTTCTTCACGTGAGTTCCTTCACAGAGACTCCATAATGTGAGAACTGTTCTGTTAAGTACCTTACCTAGATTTTTCCTTATGTTATGCTGTGGCTGTGCATCCTTTATTTAGTGCTATCTGCCTTACACTGTGATCTATACAGATGGTAACATGAAGTCCTATGGTGTTATGTTCCTGAGAATGTTACTATTTTTATGGCAGTTCGTATTGCTCGTGCTCGCTTTGCCTGTATTCACATGTGAGACCTAAGCTGAATGGTTTCTGATGTGTTCTCCTCGTTTAGCTCATAGCTTTCCTAATACTACTCCAGAGAATAGTTTAATCAGCCGTCTCCTCATCCCAACAATAGCATCGGTGGCCAGAAGCAAGAGTGCTGCTTCATTATCCATCCCAGGAAAAGAAAGTCCAGGTAACAATCATACAGGAGAATACTGGAAGTACTGATGTGTGTTCTTCCCAAATGGGCTCAATCACTTGATTTGTGGCATTTAGTATTGAAAATCATTTTTTTTTGCATTAACGTACCTGCTTTATTCTTTTTAATTTTTATTCATTTTAATGAATAAAGTGATGAAACAGTTTCAAAACAGGTTAGTAGGATTTTTACAGTAATTAATACATTGCATATTGTTTTCTTCATAGTAGTTATTCAGAGGGCAAGACGCAGACATGATATCTTGTCTAAACAATATTAGTACAAACTTTTATTCTCAGTGAACTAAGAGAAAATAGCTGTATATCTATCCTAACTCTCTTGTGTATGCATCTATCTATCTATATTTTTAAATATTTTTGAGAATATGTATATATATATATATATATTTTAAAATATTTTTATTGAGAAACAAATAGCAATGAGACAGTTTCAAAACCGATTAGTAGGACAGTTTCAATAATTAATACATTGCATATTGTTGTCTTCTTAGTGGTTATTCATAGTACAAGATGAAGACCTGATATCCTGTCTCAAACACTATTAGAACAAACCTCTCTATTCATTGAATTAAGTATAAAAAATAAAGCCATATTAATATGAAGAGTTATAAAATGTTCAAGTCAACAACTTCGGACATTGACGTTCTTATGGAAAACCCACTACTGTTATGGACTATTGGACTATATTTAGATATTTTGCTGAATTCATGCACCTACAGTATTTAAATGACAATTGAATGCCCTTCTCTGACAAAACTAACCAAAAAAGGGGATACAAATGAACGACCATTTTGTATCTGTATACTCAAAATAGGATAGATATACAGCTCCATTCTCTTAATTGAAAATCATTTGAATCGTTGGTGTCCAGACTTTTTAGCATAGTAGAGTAATCTGAGTAACGGGTAATATATACAATAAAATAACTGTCTTTGGTGGTTATTATGACTTGTGTCTAGCGTCTCCAAAAGCCTCATGCAGTCATAGGTGGAGCTTTTTCAGAGGTGGCTGGATGCGAAGTGTATGACTCTGGGATTGATTCATGGTACAGTGCTAGGCTCAGGGGCACTAAGATTAAGGATGTGAGTGCTACTCACCCTTAGCAGCCTGGAGAAGATGTAAGGGGCAGAAGGAGCTGTGGTCAGTTTCCTTGCTTGCTCGCTCTAGCTGTCTTCTGCTTGGGGTGGGCTGTTGCTCCACTGCAGTGCCCCTCTCTGAGCTGCTCTGCCTTGGAGCCAGCCGATTATGATCCAAATGCTATCATAGCCCTCCTTTTAGTACAGCCTTTCTGCTTTTTTTTTTAAGCTGATTATGGGCTGAAACCTCTACCAACTGCAAGCTAAATAAAACTATCTACCTTTAAATTTGAGCATCAAGTATTTTGTCTCAGCAGTGAGAGAAAAGTAAGAGTGATGGTTGTTACACTTTAAAGTTCTATGGATTTGAAAGTGTAGGAAAATTTCATTAATACATTAATATCAAGGTAGAAATTTTCCTACTCTAGTTTCCTTTTTTTCCTAAAATATGGATCCATAATTTTGAATGTATCTTCCAGCTTTTTAACTGGGGGCATAAAAATTATTGGTAAAATAAACACATTTGCCGAGTTCTGTGGCCTTTCTCATTCTTAGCTCATATACAGGGCTAGATGTACCTGTAGGTAGCAGTAGCAGGCTCCTCCCAGCAATGGCAAGCACTAACGCATTGTCCTCTCTACTTCCTCACCCTCTACTTTTTCCTTTTCAAAACATGTCCTGCCTTTGTTGCTTTTTTGTCATTATTTATATGAGTAATAAAGTAAATCCAAACAGTATCATAGCCTTCTAGTACAGCCTTTCTGCTTATTTTTTAGATGCTTTTTTTCATTTATGTATTTGATACAGTGTCTCATTACGCAGCTCAGACTCATAGTGATCTTGCTGTTTTCAGCCTCCCCAGTGCTGGGATTACAGGCATGCACCACCATGCCCAGACTGGGTCACCAGCTCACCATAGCTCGAGGGTGGGGCCAGCACAGCATATGGGACTGGACATTGAACCCTCGTCCCTGCACTTGCCAAAGCAGACTCTTAGTCCACTGAGTTATCTTGCCAGCCTTTAGCCTCTCTGCTTTTGATTCTGATTTCCAACATTTTTTATGGCCAGTTACATATATGTCAGATTATTTCTTGCCAGTCTTCCCCACCATCAATCTATTGGAAGATATTTTGTTATTTGAAATTTCTGTAGCCAAATTATAATAATAGCTTAGTCATGATACTATATTTTCTTTCTTTCTTTCTTTTTTTTTTTTTTTTTTTTGTGGAACCGGTGATTGAACCTAGGCCCTTGTGCTTGCCGGGCAAGCGCTTATTCTACTGAGCCATCTCCCCGGCCCATAATACTATATTTTCTATAGCACAAGCTGATGGTGAATAATGAGACTATTTAGATACATGCAATATGTTAAAGAGGAGTTAAAGCAACAAGTTAAAAGTTTTATATAGTCAATGTTTGGTCATTTATTCTATTTTAATTCTGTGATAAGCTCATGTGCAAATTTGCCATCCATACTTAAAGATGAGATGGTGAATACGTTTACTAAATTGGAAAAAAGCACCTACCAAAATACCTTTTAAAAAGTGTTTATTATACCAACAGTAAATATTTAGCACAGAAAAACCTTTTAAATATCGTGTTCCTACTATCACAACACTTACTGGTAAAAAGGATTTTTGGGGGGGTCCTCTCAGGATGCCTTAAGGGGAGGTCTAGCAAAGCATGAGGATCTGGGGCTCGAACCACAGAATTCTGAGGCTGACTGCTTTGCTTAAGCAGGAACTTAAACAGCTGAGCCAATGGGTAGGCCCCCAGAGTTCAGAAAGATTTTTTTTTGGCTGTCTCAGGATGCTGTAAGGGCAAGTCTAGAAAGGCAGGAGGCTCTGGGGGCAAACCACACTATCCTGAGCCCCACTGCCTTTGCTTTAAGCAGGCATGTAAACAACTGAGCTAATGGGCAAGCCCCCAGCACTTACTGGTAACAATAATTTTCTTTGCATTTATATGTTTTATTCACAAACTGAGCTAACTTACATTTATTAAATTTAATGTGTACCATTTTCTGTGTCCTAAAATTCACTTGGTATATTCAAGGCTTCCTTAGTATGGTCTCAGTTTTTTGTTGTTGGGTATTTGGTGTATATTTTCAGCTATTTCAATATTATAAACAGTGGCAGAGCTGGGGATATAGCGCAGTGGCATAAGTGCCTGTCTGGCAAGTGCAAGGTCCTGAGTTCAATCCCCAGTACCCCCCAAAAAGGTAGCAACCTTGTATAAACATTTTTATGTATCTCTTATTAGCTAAGGATAAACATAGAAGTAGAATTGTAGAATTACTAGAAAAAAATCTTTTTAAGTGGTTTTTGATATATATTGTCAAAAGGAAAATATACTCATTTATACTCCTTCCAGCAGTATATGACGTTACCTGGTTCTGAACATTGGTATTACCATTTTCTTCCATCTTATTCAACATGGCATATTAGCATGTTTGTACATGTCCTAGGCAGAAATACTTGGGGTAGTTAAAGCTGGAAGAAGCATTGGAAGTTCTGTTCTTTTTGGTACAGTTTTTAGTATAGTGAAAAACCCCTCTGTAATTCTGTTCTAAAACAAATCCAGTATGGAGTACCTTACATAACCCTTGTAGTGATAACATCTCTAGCCTAGCAGAGGTTCAAATTGTTTTTATAAAATGTTGAAGATCTTACAGTTTTCATGCAAACCAATCTGAAATACAGAGTGATGCAAGTAAAAAAGCCTTATTGCAAACATCAGTAGGAAACCATTGTTGTCTCAGGAACCCTGTTAGTAGTGTTGCTGCTGAAGCATGAACTTTATCCTGGTTGTGTCTTGTGTCTGTGATGCATTACACTGACCGCTCACCACACTGTGTAATCCTTGTGATTTCCTAACAGCCTCTTTTGTCTGTTCTTCTTGTACTGTGTCCGTAGTGTTTTTAATCTTGTCGAATTTCTGACTTTATGGAATTTTATTGTCTATCCTTATGTACTACAGCTGTCAACAAAAAGTACATTCCCCAATATGGACCCACACCCTTACGGAGCCACAGTAGTGAGGAATTGAAGACTTCCAGCATGCACTGCAAGTCAACTGCAAAAACACCTCCAGACACAAAAGCAGAAGTGACTCCCCTGGAGAAGGTAGAAACAACTCTCAAGGCAAAAGTCAAAGTTCCTCCCACACCATCTTCTGCCACAAGCAGGGAAGAACTCCCCAAGGTGAAGCTGGACACCACCCGCAGGGCGAGTGTGGACAGGATCCCCACAATGAGCTCAGAGGCAACCCCTGAGGTGAATGTAGACCTCAGCTCAGTGAGCACAGATGCAACCCCGGGGGTGAGTGGCATGGCGTCAACCTCCAGCGTGAGCTCAGACATATTCCCAGAGGTGAGCATAGACACATCCTCTGAGGTGAGCGAGGAAACCTCCCCACTGACCAGTGTGGATGTGTCTCCAGTGGTGAGCTTGGACACCTCCCCGGAGGTGAGCACGGATGCTTCCCCTGTGGAGAGCGTTGACTTCTCTCCTGAGGGGAGCATCGAAGCCTCCCTGGAGGGTGTGCAGGTGTTGTCCGAAGCAAGTGTGGAAGCTGGGCCCAAAGCAAGTGTGAAAGAATCACGTAAAGAGAGTGAGGAAGACCCCCCTAAGGTGCTGGTAGAAGCAAGCCCCCAGGCGAATGTGGAAGAGCCCCCCAAGGAGCCCCCCAAGGTGAGTGGCAAAAGCATCTCTAAGACAAAACTGACTCTCCAGAGGTTTGCCAAGTGTCTTTCACTGACAGGTCTTCTAATAAAACATGTAGTTTCATTGTATAGACCACAGTGCAGCAGGCTTTACAACATGACTAATTTGTTATTTATTGTACTCTGCAATGAAAGGAACTAACTCACTTAAACTAATAATTTTACATTCTCTGATGTTCATTGTACCAGCATTCCCCCCATGCTAGGTTATCAGTTAATTTTTCATATGACAGAAAAAAATGTATCTGTTTATATGAACTGTTTCTAAATTCTGAAGTTTTTGAGAAATATTCCAAACCCTTAATTAAGACATGAAACGGAATTAGGTATTTGAAGTAAGATTTCTTTTAATTTATTTCTTTGATCTATTGAGCAGTGTCTTGAAGAAAATATCTCTGTGTAGAACAAGTTTCATGCACTGAAGGAAAATTGGGCATTAGAAAAACTACCAGTTGTATTTTATTCAGAATATTTCTCTTTTAGAAGAAAGCTAGCTGCAGTAAAATAATTGCTAATAATTTCTTATTACATTGATGTGCTCAGAAACCAGAAATGAACAAACAGACTACAAACCCTGTTATCAAGAAGCGCCCAGCAGGAAACATACCACGCTATAAATGGCCTTCATCTCCAACAAAAGAGAGGCGTCCACCCTCGCCCATAACTACTGTGTAAGTAGACTATGAGCAGTTGTTCTTTATAGGTGTTTTACTATGATCAGTTTCATTTCAGTATTCCATAAATGAAACAAATACAGAAATAGAAATATAAAGAAAAAACTTTAAGGTGGATTTACTTTTGTCAGTTTGAAAAATTCCCAGAGATTAATATTATTACCACACAGTGTTAAGACAAGCATATGTGCCTATGTGCATGGGGCGGGACTGGGCGTCAAACCCAGGACCTTGCATATGCTAGCAACCACTCTCGCCACTGAGCTGTATACTTCATTCCTAGACATTATATTTTATGAGATTGTATACTGAAATTAATTAGCATAATTTATTACTTTTTCTCAGGCAAAATCAAAAGAACCGCCCCCCATCACCTTCACCAGTCTTAAAACAATCACAGACACCTCTGTCCTACAAAATAGTGCCTGTTCAACGTACTCTACTTGTGCCAAATGCGTTAGGTACTTTCAAAAAGAAAAGAGAAATCGTTTCTAAAACTGCAAATGAGTTTGAGGCTGTGAGCCAAAAGCATATGATTCATGAGGGTAAGTTTATTGTCTTAAGAAGGGTTTTGGGAATATTCAATTGAGATAAAGTGAAGTTTAATCAGCCAGTGCTCCGGGATTGTCTTCTCTTCTTTCTTGTCCTTGTTGGGGCTTCTCACCCCATCTCTTTGCTTTTGGAAGGAATATTTTTGGATGAGAAGGTTGACCTAGGTCAGTGGTGCCAAACCTATGGCATGCATGCCACGATGAGCTGCTTGACATCATTGGAAGTGTTATACGGTTTGCCATCACTGGTCTGGGTGACCCCATGGACACTTCCAGCTTTGATTCTGGGAGGTGGTTGGAGACAGGATGTCTGCTTAGTGGTGGGCGAGCAGGTTTTCACAGGAAATATAGATCATTTTCCGTGCTAGGCCTAACATATGCCATGTCTTGGCTCGTGTTCTGCGTAGGTTCCTGAAAGTGTCACGCTGCTGTTTTGCCTGTAAAGTGCATTTGTATACCAGTAGACATTATTTAATTTCTAACACACTAGGGGATTTTGCTTTTCCAAGGAATTCCACAGTGAAGTATTTGTAACAGAAATAATCCTTTTCTTATGCATTATTCATCCTTGATATGTCTTAAAATTTTCATTTCTACATGTGATTTATTTAAAATAAGAACATGTGTTACACAAAATATTACAGTGTGCCCTCATATGTTCACTTTATTTTACTGATAATCTTGGTTTCTTTTGTTTTCTACAGTTGCTTGTTTTATGATAACCAGATAGATACAGTGTTATCAGAGTTTCATTGAACAGTAATAAAAACAATGTACTAATCTCCAAATGTATGCCAGGTGTACTTTGGGCTGGTTGAGTATTTTCACATTTGTAGTGTACACATGGACTAAATACAAGCCAGCTTTTTCCAGTTTTTAGTATTTCTTAATCTTTTCCTAGGGTCACCTGATTCAGTTCTTTCAAAATGGCTAAAGTCAAAGTAGAAGTACATTGTTGTATTTTGGAAGAAGTACTGGTTTAAATGAAACAAAATGCTGATTCTGTTGTTGGGCGGCAGGTGGGGCTTTGAATAATTCACCTGTGTTTTGCATGATATGTAGAAATTTTATTTTATTTTATTTTTTCCGATAATTTTTAGCAATTTTAGTCTCCTGTTTATTTATTTATTTATTTTTTGGTGGAACCAAGGATTGAACTTGGGCCTTTGTGCTTGCCAGGCAAGCACGTATTCTACTGAGCTGTCTCCCTAACCTCCGACATTTTAGTCTAGGCACACATGGTTTGATGTTTTGATGTTTTCATTTGTGCTGGACTTTGTTGGACAAAGAGGCAATTAGTTCCCTAAACTAACTATGTCACGTGTTTATTTAAACTAGACTCTGGTAATAAAAGCACACCAGGAACCATGAGTGCTGAGGAAGCAACAAAAATTTTGGCAGAAAAGCGCCGTCTTGCTCGAGAACAGAAAGACAAAAAGGAAGAAGAGAGACTCCAGAAAGAAGTTGAACAGAGGTCAGCACAAAGCCTTTCTACATTCTGAATCTTGACTAAGGCCCCAAATTTGAAACTTTTTCCTCAAACAATTGATTTTTTTTCTTCATTGAGGATCAGAAATCTTTCACTGCTTTCTAAGGAGAGAAAGTATAGGCAGCACTTCAGGGCTTTGTAACTGGCTGAGTGGAGAGGACCCTGACATCTCTGTACATGTGTGCTGTGAAGGTGCACTAGGGGAACGCAGCAAGAGAGCAAGCTCACCTCCAGGGTCCCGTCGCTGAGCAGTGGCACCTGGCTGATCGCAAACCTGGGCTGCTTGCCTTCACTGGTGTCAGCCTGTCTCTTTACTTTAAAGACTTGTAATTTTAAGCTTTGTCACCTAAAAACCACACTGTTTTAATTTGGCTGCTTTCTGGTGACTTTTGTGACTTCTGAAGGATGTCCTATGGGCAGTGAATCTTATGTGCAATGATGTGCTTTTCAGTTTGAAAGAGAGGTTCTTGCTTTTCCATGTGGAGGCTCCTTTTATGTTGGGCCCTGTAGTGTGAATCCATCTCCACTGTTGCGAAGAATAGCTGCAGTACTTGACTTCATTTTCAAGTATTAAGTGTCCTGAAATATAGTCACATACTTTGTATGGGATTAGAGTAGGGAAGGGAAAAGAGATATTAAGATTACCAAGAAATTGTAACTGGAAGAATATCATTCATTGCCTCATGTGAACAGAACTAACTAAGCCTTTGAAAGCACTAAACACCAGGACACCTTTACACTCTCTTATAATTAACCCTCATCCCCAGGTGAGGCTTGAGTGTGAGCAGGTGTAAGTAAGGCCTTGAGAGTAGTCTCAGTGTCTTCTAACAGAGATTATTTCTTTCTTGCATGTGTGCACATGTATGTATTTTTAAGATGTGAAGTTGGCCAGTACTTGATGGAAATCTTTTTTACTCCCATTCTTTTTCACCTTGATTTAAAAGGGTTAAAAGGGGGCTGGTGAAGTATTGCAGCAGACTAAAGCACCTGCTTAGGTAAGCACAGGGACTAGGATTCAATCCCCGACACCACATGCCACACCAGCCCTGTCTGCAGGGTGGGCTGAGCCGGCCAGAGTCTGGGCGTGGTGGTGCACGCTGTGTTCCCAGCACTGGGGAGACTGAAAGCAGGAGGATCACCATGAGTTCTAGCTGTGTGTTGAGACCCTGCAGCAACCAAATACATTAATAAGAGTTAAAATTATGGAAGTCCTGTGTAGTAACCACACAAAGTTTTATGAATCTAATGTAAATATAAATTGTGTTACTGTACCCAAGTAGTTTCACTTAATACTGTAAGTTGTATGTGGTAGTGACTAAGATGAATACTAAGATGTATTTATATGTACTCCATGTTACTAGGAAAGTGGCAGATGCGGCAAAGAGGGTGGACGAAGCCCAAGTTGAACAGTTATCAAAATGTGAAGATAGACCACAGGAAAAAGAGACTGAAAAGAGCAGAGGACCTCAGCCCCAAGAATACCAGGGAACAATGCAGCAGGTTTGCTGGCTTCATATTTTATCACCAGCTAAGAACCAGTTGAAACTCAGATTAGCAGTCTGTTTCTGAGCAGATAGATCATCTCCAGCCAAAGGCAGCATCTCCCAAGGGCAGCAAACAAACACAGAAAGCAACATGTTATACGTTACCACTCCTGTACTTGGCTTAAACAGCCAGGTCAATTTTTTGTCTTACATTCTGCAAGGCTACACCTGGCCCTCGCAGCTGCACCTCACACCCTTCAGCAGTTAAGAAAGAAAGAGATTGGGGATGCCTCTGAAAGTTTAAAATTATCAAACTCACCAAGAAGAATGGATCACCCTTGTAAATTCAAACTGCCAGCTAAGTAAAGCCCCAAACTGAGCACAGACTACACTCACTTTGCAGTATTACCACAGCCCAATTTATGTGCCCAGCATTAGTGTATCATGTTTCCTAAATGAATGTGTCCCCTGGCAGTCCTTGAGAAGACACTTCTGAATTCTCTTGGTGCTTTTGAGAAACCTAAGACGTTGGTTCCTAAGATGTTTTCATTACTGTTTTAATGTATAGCTCCATAGCCACTTACATACTTTTACAGTAAAGTAATCTGTTGTGTATAATAACTTTGACATCCCAGGCCTTTCAGATAAAGTCTGTGCATTCTAACTAATGTTTTAAAAATGACAACCTATGACTGTCATATATATATATATATATATATATATATATATATATAATTGAATCAAAAGACTGCAACTGTTTAATATTTTAAACTAAGATTCTCTTTCACTCGGATACATTGAGATTAAATGACATTCTTATGTCAATTTCTTAGAAAGGGGAGGCCAAAATAAAGGCTCATGAAGAAGCTGATAAACGCAAGAAGGAACATGAGAGAATTATGTTACAAAATCTACAAGAAAGATTAGAAAGAAAAAAGGTATTTGTTCTCTGTTGTCTGGATTTGGGTTGTATTAAATAGTGTTGGAGATGTGATACCAGAACGTTCTTGAAAACCGCAGATTGGATATGTGTTAGTCCCTGGCTGTTTTTCCACTAGGCATACTCTCTTCTTCCTTATCCAAGTAGCTGACTTCTACATAAAAGGCTCTCCTGTTCCTGAGCATCCATACCCTTGCTAGCCATTACAGCAGTGCCTCTGTATCAGATCCAGGGGAACAGAGCCCCCCTGAACAGGTGCCTCCAGCCGTAGTAGGCGTTGGTGGGACTTACTTTCTTCTCCACTGGGTTGGCATTTGCAGCAGCTGTGGTGCAAAGAAGTGTAGTCCTCTTTGAAAAGCCAATGCACAGCCCATGGTAGGGCCACTTTTGTGCAACTCACATGGCTCATCTACCATTCAGTCAAATGTTAGTTGAAGACTTCCAAGTCAGGAGTGGCAAGAAAAATGATGACAGTTAAGAATGATGGTCCAGGTGCTGGGGAGATAGCTCAGCAGTCTAAGTGCCTGCTTGGCAAGCGCAGGGTCCTGGGTTTGATCTCTGGCACCACATGCCGTGCTGGCCCCACCCCAGGCATACTGAGCCAGCCACGGAGACCGGGCATGGTGGTACATGCCTATAATCCCAGTTCTGGGGAGGCTGAGACAGGAGGATCACTATGAGTCCCAGCGACATAGTAAGACCCTGTACCAAACACATAAAAAAATGGTGTTTCACACAAAAGTGACAAAAAATTGCAGATCACAAAATGCAGAAAACATTTATTTCACATAAGGTAAAGGCATTAAGTACATCAGTTACCTCACATGACATACTGAATTATGAAGGTTCACATTGAACATAATCATGTCCACTTGTTATTTGGTGCGCATGATATTCATGTGTTGTCTGTACTCCAATTGGTCATTTGACAATAACTTTCCAGTTCTGTTTACATAGACATTTACCTCTCTTCTGAAGGCACCTGCTTGGGTATTTAAAAATACTTAATTTATGTTATCATGCATTTTAAGTATTAATTTCCATAATATTTGTATGTGGTTATATTAACATTATTTCTAATTCATGTGTCTGTTATGTGTTACAACAAACACTACATGTGTCTGTCTGGCTGACGATCTTGACTAGGGCTGATGTTAGAGGTAGTGCTTATACTGCAAGCACCCTGAAAAATCATGCTAGGGCATATTCTCCAGTTAGGTCTTATTTTGGGGGAAACACAGCAGAAGCCTGGTATGTGAGATGCTACAAGGCCTCTCCGTCAATAGACCTGGTGCCCTGAGGTGGCCAAGGAGCCACAGCTGGCCTCATGTCATGAAGAAGAAGAAAGAATTCTTATCCCACCCTAGGATACATTCCTCCTCTGCCGCCTGTCTTCTCTTTTTCGTAACTAACTCTCTTGACCCTATTACCATAGGGTCTTAGGGTTGAGGTACCTTACATTCATTAAAATCAGCTTCCTGAATAATGCGTTAAGACTAAAATTCTATTAGATGCTCTCATTGATTTGCAATAGTATGTGCTTAGTCTCAGGAAATGAATGTCCATGTCTGTGAAAATAAGAATGAGGAGCTGGCATTTGAGTGTCTGTGTTATGATACCAAGGACAGCTATTGGCATTCATGGCCTTTTGTAGCTGAAACCAGAACGGGAAGAGGACCTCAGCTGCCACCTGGGCGTTTTGTTGGCTTAATCTGTGGTTTTAGAGCAATTAGGGTCATTGACTGCCTCTGAGAAGTGGAGATATTAACTGCTTCATGACCACTGGTTTTAATCTTTTTGTTTCATTTTTTATTTCCTTTAAATAGAGAATTGAGGAAATAATGAAGCGGACAAGAAAGACAGACACAAATGTCTCCAAGGTAACCTCTCCTGCTGCCCACAGTACATAAGAATTCCGCGAGTTTCATGTTCTTGCCAGTTTTACACTTTTGAAATCTGGTAGTAAAGAAAGTATCAAATTCACATGTCCGTGATTATTAAAGATTTGAGCATGTTTTGTACCTTTGGATAGCTTTCCTGCTTTCTCTTGTGTGAAATGCTTGTTTAGGTCTTTTTGCCTAAACTCTTGGGCTGATTGGTCTATTGTTTTTTCTCTAGTCCTCTGAATGTTCTAAATTCTTCTGCTTTCTGGACCATGATACAGATGGCTCCTCCTGAAGTGTGGCTTGTCTTGTCTTGCTCTCTGTCATCTTCTGCTAGATAGAAGCTCCTGATGTTAATGTTGTTGTTGAATTTTGAGTGCTTTTTCATATGCTACTATTAATTTGGAGATCCACTTAGGTCATGTGGCTTTTCAAGTCATTGGCCCATTTTCTTATTTTATCCTTTTTCTTATTTTTGTTTGTTAATTGTATTTCTTTATTTACTTATTTGATACAGGGTCTCACTACACAGTTGGCACTCATAATGGTCCTCCTGTCTCAACCTCCCTAGTACTGGGATTGCAGGCCTGCACCACCACACTGGGTTTTGGTGGCTGGCATGGTGTTCCTGGGATTCAGGGGCCAGCAGAGCATGTGGTACCAGATATTGAACTCAGATCCTTGTGCTTTCCAGGCAGCTATCTCCCCAGAGATATTTCTTATGGATTGTAGGAATTTTTATGTGCTCTGGCCAGGAGTCCTTTGATACATGTATTGGTAGGAGGTACCAGGAATCAAACTCAAGACTGCACACTTGCCAGGCAGGTGCTGTGCCACCGAGTGATGTGTGTATTGCAGTGCTCTTCTCCCATGCCATATAAGAACTGATCAAGAGGCCAGTGAGATAGCTCAGCAGACTAAAGTGCCTGTTTAGGCAAGCACAGGGACTGAGGTTCAATCCCCAGCACCACATGCCTTGCCAGCCCCGCCCTCAGGGCTGGCTGAGCCAGCCGGAGTCCAGGTGTAGTGGTGCATACCTGTATTCCAGAAAGAAGGAAGATCACCACGAGTCTGAGCTGTGTAGTGAGACTACAACAACCAAATACATTTAAAAAATAATAAAAGAATTGATCAAGTAATATGGTATATGTTTAAATTTTTTAAATTGATTACATTAATAGATACATTGCCATTACTATCCATTAGAACATGCACCTTGGCTGGGGAGATGGCTCAGTAGAGTAAGTGCTTCCCTGGCAAGCGCAAGGGCCTGTGTTCAATCCCTGGTTCCCCCCAAAAAAAAAAAAAAGAACACACACCTTGCTGCAAATACTCTGAAGCAGTTCAGGAAATCCTCTTTCATGAATGCGTTTAAGAGGTCTAACCAAAACTAAGGTGAGTGCTACTGCTAAATGCCAGTCAGTGGAAAGGCAGGCTGGAAAAAGCTGTGTGTCCCCGTCGGCCACATTCACCAGAGCTGGCACCTTAGACCTTGAGGCTCTTCCTTAAAGTCAAAATGAGCAGGAAAGTAAATGTTAGAATCAATTTAGGACACTGAGATGACCACAACAGCCCAACTAAAGACACAAAAGAGTGTAACAATGACAATAGGGTGTGTCTGAAGTGAGGGGGAGTAATTTAAATGAGATTAGTGGCAAAGCATAAACGTTCACTCTATTTTTTTGATCACACCACTTGGTTTGCCTCATCTCTCAATGTGGTCATTATCGAATGAGCAGTTTTCATTTCAGGGAACTCATATTTACCTTTTTTTTCCTTTATGATGAATCCATTTTGGATCTTTTGCAGTTTTGCTTCCTCCAGCATCATATCTTTTAATGGAACACATGCATTTAATCTTTGCTGTGGGGCTATAATTCATACATCTCACTGCCGGGAGGCTCTGATTTGATGAAATAAATATGTTGAGTACTCTAATAATTTTAATTGGTATGAATAGTATTCATATTTATATTCGGGCAGTAATGATTCAAATTCAAGCAACTAGATTTGGTTCATTTATAGACTCTTTATTTTTGTTAGTAAAAGACTGATAAAATTGATGTGATCTATTTGTACCACCAGTGGTACAAGCTGCATAGTGAGACCGCTGGTGGTTCAGGCTGGCAGGGGCAAGTTAAGGCCTTTGTCTTCCGGAATCTGCATTCTTCACGTTCTGTGTTATAGAACTTACATGTTGCCTGTTTACAGTTGCCCATTGCTAGTTTTCAAACCACGAAGTAGCATGAGACGAAGGCCAGGTCAGTCAGATCTGAGAAGTGCCAGGACTCAGTTCACTGGCCCATGCAGTTTTACTGCAAGCAACCAAGAACTTTCTAGCTCTTCATCACTTGTCAAACCGCAGCTTAGTTGGAATTTGGAGCAGGGAGAGAACAGATGGCAGTCCAGAGCTATAGCCCCTGGACCCTCCCTCAGGGAAAGCCTTCATTTTTGAGTATCTTTCCCTAGCTGAATGACCTGACTAAGGGCCTCTGTCACTGTCCCCTGATTCTTGGGACCAGTTAAAGAGGTGATTTTTTTTTGTACCTTTTAACTGAAAAGTTAACCATCAATCCAGCCTCAAAATCAGACTTCTTTAAAATTCTAAGCCAGGGCAATTGAACATTATTTATAATTATTATTTTCTTTTTTAACTGCAGGCTACAAGAACATCTGGCAATGACACAACTGAAGAAGATGAAGCCGATGAGGAAGGGGACACCGGAAGTGATGAGGACTCCCTTGATGGCGTGCGCACATCAGGTTTGCTTGTTCCCACTGCTTCTGTTAGTCACCATTCAGGGGTCTGGCTGCCTCAAGAGCTGTGTGGCCCTGGGAAGGTCATTTCACCTCTTTGCTCAGGAGGGAAAGTTACTGTTGTCTTCATCCTGGCAGGCATGAGGGTGGAATGAGATACATCTGAGTGATACAAAGCATAGTGTCTAACATGTGGTAAACTGTAATAAACACTAGCTGCTGCTGCTATTACCTTATGGGTCACGCTAATGGGCTGTAGGTGGCAGCTTTTCCTCAGTTGAATGTGAGCATTGCTGGCATTTTCAGCTCAGGGCCTCAGAAGAGATCCATGATTGACTGCATGTAGAATTCCACTTTCTACCTCCTTAGTAAAAATTGAAATCGTGTCATGATATGCGTGCCGTCCAAATCATATTGCTGCCTCCCTGTGAGTGGGAAATGCTGTAGAGTAGCAACACTTGGCAAAGCCATCCATACTAACCCTGCAAGTGGTTAATGAGTAGGTAAGGAAGGTGTTGTGCAGGGCTAGCAGTGGAGAGATGAGGAGCCGTGGCCTTCAGCCTGAAAGAGCCATGGCCAGTGGGCAAACCATGAGTGAACAAGACAGTGCCTCTGTGAGTAGGGCACAAGGGCTTGTCAGGGTGCAGTAAGAACAGAGCAGTGGGAGCCTTGGCTTTGCTTTTGAGCATTGATGAGAGCTGCAGACAGGAAGGAGCACTAGAAGTGAGACCAAGCTCAGAGGCAGAGCTGGCTCTGAGTCCTCAGGGCCAGGGTGAGAGGCAAGGAGCAGTCCTGTTGTCCACGCCATCAGCTGTCGCAGCATTTTCTTAAATGTGGTCTCTTGTGCACTGAGGGTGGTGTGAGTGTGTACACTGGGCCACACTCAGGCTACAGCTGAGAAACATACAACAACTTAGGGGTGGCCAGCCTGGCCCCCAGAGCACCACCAGCCTTCCATATCCTACCTCAGGCAGACACCCCCATCTTACCAGAATCATATCCTTGGCTTTTCTTGTATTGATTATTGAAACCCCAATTTTAATTATTTATTTTTTATCCTTAGGCATTGGAAACAATGGAGATTCATCTACCAAACTCACAATGCCTTGTGAAAATGCCACAAGAACACCTCAGAAGCTGGTGCTTTTACAGGCCAAAACTAGTGAGGTCAATGAGGAGCAGACCTCATACTTCAATGGTGATATGAAAACCTTCAGACAGCAGGACCCCAAAGACCCTTCAAATCATGCAGAAGGCTCACGGTGAGTCACTTGACACCTTATTTACCAGAGTGAAGTTGGGTTATGATTAAGTGCTAAGCAGACCATATTACATACTGAGCTCTTTGTGTGCACATTCCAAACACTCTGTCAGACATCAACCTGACAGAAGCCAGCTAATCCCCAACAGCCTCATTAGGTAAGGACCACCGTCCACTGTCTCAGAGATAAGCAAACTGAGGTATAAAGCAGCCAAGGGCCTTATTTGCCTAACAGCCCACTACTAAAGGGCAGAGCCCAAATTCAAACCAAGATTTATCTGACTCCAGACTATTTTTGTTCACATGGTTAATACCTCATAAAGTCAGGGAAGAAGACATTTATGGAGCAACTGCCATAAACTAGGCATTTTACTTCACTTTTTGTGCGGTCCTGGCTCTCACACTCACATGTCTGGCCCTTTTTTATTTTGATATGGGATCTCACAATGTCACTGTATTGTCCAGGCTCAGCTAAAATGTGGTCCTCCTGCCTCAGCCTCCTTAGAGTGCTGGGATTTAGGCACACACCAGCGTGCCTGGCTATGTTGTCTATTTTATATCTCACTATACCTCTGAGATGTATCATTATTCCACATATGTGGAAACAGCAGCAGAGGTGAGCTCAGGGGAACAGAGACAATTTCTTAGGAGGAGACACTGCTCAGGCAACTACCTGAAGAGACCCTAAAGCTATAAGACCTATGGGGATAGGAGCATGCTAGGAATCTTGGCACCTCTGCCATGGGGAAAGAGTACCAGAGGAGGAAATCCCACACCTCACTGTTCACTCTTGACCAACTTGAAGGAGGGGGCCAGGGTCCCTGGCACCCTGCGTGTGTGCATGGCTGCTCCTTGGTCATGGTGCTCCCTGGCACCCTAGGGCTTTCTAGAAGACACCAGGTTCTCTGAGCTCCAGGGTCCTAAAAGTTCAGGTTTCTTTCAGGCAGAGCCTTGGTGTTGGGATTATCAGAGTTCTCATGAAAATGTCTTTCCAGACCATCTACCGAAAGAACATCCACCTGCACTGACAAATCAGGCAAAGCGAGGGAAGCCGCCACCAGCACCCAGCCCACCCAGAGTGTCATCACTAATCAGGATTGGATTTGTAACCAGGCTTTTGACTTTGCTCATCATAACACGGCGTTACCTGCCACCGAGAGCACTCGTAATAGCCACAGCCACAATTTGAGGGATTCTATGCCAACTCACCAAAGTCCTCAGACACCTTCAGACCACGAGAACAGGAGCAAGCCTGTTTCTCCTTAGTCTGGTAAGCCTCCAGCCCATCCTCACTTTGCCTGAGCCCTTTCCTCACAGCCCTCTCCTGCTCCTGGCTCCCAGACAAATAGTTGAGAGTACAGGAATGATTTAGAGGAATCTTCCACTCACACATTTACAGTGGGGCTGTGTTTCATGTGTCTCACTGCCAGGTGGCTTAAACCATCATTAGTGCCTGCATGGCTGGCTTTTTATGAATTTTGTTAGTAAAAAAACCAGAAAAGTGGTTAGATCTGTTTGTGCCACCACTGGTATGAGCCGCTCAATGGAACAGTCATTCTGGTTAAAACTGGCAGGAATCTGTTGTTGCTTTTGAGAGTAGATGACTTGATTCCAGTTTTGATTTCTCACATTTCTTGCCAGACATGAAAAAAGTGAGTTCCCTTCAAAATGCAGGTTCTCCTGGACTCCTAACCCACCGGCTGCTTGACAAGCTTATAGATGCCCCTTTAGGGCCAAGTTCTGACATTTAGAGTAGAAAGTTCTGACATTAGTTCCTTATTCTGTGTTTCTAAAATCAAAGGCTATTGCTTTTCTTTCTTTCACAAGATTTCTTTGGGAAAAGAAAACAAACTTTTGTTGTACTGATAAGGCTTGGACCTAGGGTCTTTGTCCTAAACTATATCTTCAGCCTTTTTTATGTTATTAATTTGTTAGAGACAAGGTCTTCCTAAGTCATCCTGGATGGCCCTAAACTTGTGATCCTTGTGCCTCAGCCTTCCAGAGTGCTAGGATGGTGTTACTACACCTCAGATTCGGGGATTACAAAGCATCTTTTGGGGGTTGAGGAAATGGGGGACATTTCTAAGAGCATCAGCAAGTCAGCCACCCCAGGGACTGCTGAAGGTGTTAGGCCTGCCCCAAAGGGAGGCCAGGGTTGCTGTGAGATCTTCAGTGTCTTCTCTAATTTTTCTTTTCCTTTTCTCTCTGGTCAGATATGTAAACTTCGTGATAAGCTTCCTATTTCTCAAAATTTTTCTGCTTCGTGCTTGAATCCAGCAAAGGAAATGACCATTGAAAGAGGAAGAAACAAGACATCCAAGATCACCTTACCATCTATCTCAGAAGATACTCATGTCATCTCATTTTCTTGTGAGTTCTAAGTAAAAAGATGTCTTTGGTTTTCTTGAAAAATCCCCATTGTCTCTTGTGTTTTCCTACCAATGTGTGTGCACTTAGAACATTTTTGTAAATGGTAATAATCAGATTTTAAAAGAATCCTGTTGGAGGGACCGTCCGGTTTTCCATGTGTTTTTGAAATCTTAGTGTTTCTTCTGTTTAACAGTGACATCAGTTTTGACACATAAAAGCTCCTCTTGGTCTTGTTAAGAACCTGCTAGATTCTGTGAGGCTTGGGACTGCTTGCAAGAGCTGTGTCCAGCTGTTGCTAACACATAAGTATCATTTCCCCTTGATATGTGTCTCCTTCCTTCTACTGTCCTTCGTGCCTGGCATTCATACCCCCAGTGCATCTATCACCGTCATCAATACAGTATTTCCTGTCGAAGGACATACTGGGATTTAACAACAAAAATGGGGATCACTTTTGTTATGTATGTAAAGCAGTACTTAGCTGCTGTCTCTTGATGGTGTTGAATTCTCCTACATGTTGAACGTGTATCACCTTTTTCTCTCTGTTCTCCTCAGTCCTGTTCCTCAGCATATACTCAGGCTTGGGCTTTGAAACCAAAATATGCTCGCTTTTTTCTAGGCACTGGCTACAAGTGAGGACAGGGACAGCGTTCCTACTGTCCCCATGAGGAGCACACGCATGTACACACACACGAGTACACATGCACACACGCGCGCACCAGATATATGATTCCATAAAACTTGAATTTGAATTCCTTGTCCTAACACTAATGAGTTTCATGGTGTTGAATAACAGAGTTTGAAATAGACCAATGATTCCTCTTGGCTACCAGTCTTGGGGTTGTAAAAGGAGGTAACTATTCTTTCTAATCCTTCGTTTTTTGCTACTTTAAGTACTGTACCTTTGTTAAGATTAGGGAAGGCTGTCTTACATTTAAAAACTTTTATATACTAGCTTTCATATAGAAGGCAGAGACAATCTCCCTAAAATGAAGTTCTGATGTTTTTCTGCACCAGTGGCACATGTTGAAACACTGTTACAGCTCTGTGTAAGTGTGTGCTCTATGAAATAAACTTGGCAGATAAAATCCATTTTGTTTCATTATGATGGTAAGAAATACCCTGGTCATGGTATAAATGTGGGCCCAATTGCTGACTAACTCAGCACAGGCAAATAGCACCCTCAGCAAGCAGTAGGCAGACCCCGACTTCCCTCTTCTTGCAGTTGGTCACGCGGAGTCTCCTTCAGGACAGCAAGGCGCCCATTCCAGACTCTGGTCTTCTTACTACAGCTACTCAGTGCTTGCCACTGTTTGCTCTGAGGGCTTTCACTTACTGATAAAGGTCTGTTGTGAAAGTATCTTTCTATTGTGGCAAAATTCATGTAATGGTCATCATTTTTTTTCTTTTCCCCCCCTTTTTTTCCCTGAGATGGGTTCTGGCTGTGTTGCCCAGGCTGGGCTCATGCCACCCTCCCATACCTGAGTAAAAATCACCATTTTAACCAAAGAATACATGCACAGGCTGTGCAGTCATCTCCACTGTCCAATTTCAGAACATTTCTGAGGAGAAACCCATCCCCTTCCCAACCCTTTTAAGCCCTGAATGTGGCATTTGCTTAGATGAAGAAAACCCACTTGATTTTTTTTTGTCTCACTTTTTAAGGTGTGCGTGCATCTGAGCAGTTTATGCACTCGTTTGTTGCCCCTAGTACTAGGGGTAGAGCCCAAGGGTGCTCTATGATTGAGCTGTCTCCCCAGTCCTTTCTTACATTTTTATTTGGAGATAGGATCTTACTAAGTTTCCCAGGCTGCCCTTGAAGTTGCGCTCTCCTGGCCTTAGCTGGGATTACAGGCAGGCACTAGGCGCCCAGCTGTGTGTTCATTTACATATGCATTTCTTCATGACATCACTGTGACTCTGAATGGCAAAACAAATATTGTGATATCCTGTAAATGTTTCCTTTCCAATCTTAAAACACGCTTTATCACTAGTTTTAGTTTAGCTCTCATCTTTGTAGCCTGAGCACCCATACACACAAGCTGAACACATCCCACTCTTGCGAGCGGCCCCACCCTGATGACTTCATCTGCACTTAGAGCCCCTGCCTGCCAAGTCTGCCATGAGGGCCCTTGGTCCACCTCTTGAGTAGGGTTTCGGCCACAACTCCAAGGCATGAGTGGAGTCCCTAGCCTTCTTGCCCCCCACCTGATGCTGCGGTCTCCTCACATTTCCCTTCCTCCCTGCAGGACAGATCCCTGGTCTCTACTAAGAGATTCTTTGGAGTACCGTTTTTCCCACACCTGTGTCACCAAGGTCACCACATGTGACAACTCTAGTACCCAGAAGTCCTGCTCCCTGGGACCCTGAAGGCCAAGTCCTAGCCAAGAAGGCTGCCAGCTGGGTCTGTGGCCCTGTGCATGCTGCCTCCTCTGGGCCTGGCTTATCTATCAAACCAGGTGGCTCTACTGCAGGCCCTGTGTCCTCTGCACTTCACCCCTTCCCAGGTGCCCTCCCTGGCCAGAGGAGTACTGGGAGCCATCTGGCCCCTGAGCAGGGCTCAGGCCCTATGCTCTACCAGGTTGGTCAGAGCAGGCCCCAGCTCTCCTGCAGCCCAGCCACAGTGTCTCCAAGGGGTCCTGCTTGCACCCCAAACTCTGAGGATGCCAACTAAATCACAAGTGCAGGTCTCGCATAGGACATGTCAGGTTCCTCAGAAGCATCAGCGCAAGGATGGGAGTTGATTTTTATCTACATGATCATTACGGTGGAACTGGGCATTTGTTCCCAGTCACACAACTAGAAAGAAGCAAGGCTGGTACTGAAGCCCAGGCCTGTCCTACCCCACCCCTAGTTTGGGAGCCACACAAAACGAGGCTTGTAGGGCAGGTGAGACACCAGAACACTGTCTTTGGAGCTGGGGACAAAACCCTTGCCAATGCTGATGGAGCACTTAGTCTCATTTTATAGGTGAAATGATCTCAGAGAGGTCAGGTAACTTGCCCGAGGTATCATTCCTAGAGAGTCGGAGAGTAATCAGGTTTCGAACCCAGGTCTGGCTCCAGACACCACTGCCTTCACCACATGTTAGTATGTTCTTGAGATTCTGACCTCTTTTGAGGGGGAAAATGCTTCTCTGCTGGCATTATAGTAAGGAAATTGCCCTCATTCTTTCCAAGTCTTATGGTTGTCTCTCTTTCCACAAACACAAGTTCCTTCTAAATGCTGAGTACCATGTGTGACAACTCTCCTCAGTGAAATGCAAGAGGTGTGCCCAAGGTGCAGTTTGTCACTTACAAGCTGTGAAAACCCAGGAAAACTTCTTAACCCCTTTGAACTTCCATTTCTCACCCGGAAGAATGGGGCTGATGCACCCTCAGCTGGCTGTGCTGATTAGACCCAATGTGTGGGAGGGGTTTGCTTCTGAAGAAGCTGAAGTATTAAGGGCAGGCATCCAGTGGCAAAGAGTAGCTACAGGCACATGCCTGATGGGTCTGATTCCTGGGCAGGAAGGTGGAGGGGGCTACCTTTTGGGAACATGGAGCAGGGTGTGGAGTGGTAGTCCTGGGAATTTTAGACAGTGTGGCTTTTCCTCAGCAGAGCTTAGGCCACAGGCTCAGGCTCTGCAGACCAACCACAACAGGAGCACCAAGTGGTCCCAAGACTGAGGTGGGAAGCATGGCTAAGGCACAGGGCAGAGCTACAGAAGGCCAGGTAGGATGAGTCTGAGAGGATGGCGAGAGCCAGGACCGGAGGGAAAGACCAGCCCTGAGGAGAGTTAGAGCTCCCAGGCCTGCAGGAGGGTATCTGGGCATGGCAGAGGCCCAGGGCTGAGCAAGGGAGCAGCGCAGACAGGGAGATGGGGTGTGGGTACATGGTCTTCTGGGAGGAAGAGCAGAAACCAGGTGCCATGTTCTCGGGGGGCCCATGCCCTCTGGGGTCCTTTGCTAGCTGCTGCCACAGGAACCTGTCCCCTGGACAAGCAGCGGACAGCTACTGTCAAAAGCACAACCACCCTGCCCCTCATGCAGCTCAGAACACTGGATAGACAGGCTTTTGTCACTGGTGTGAAGATTTAATAGCTCATTTCTCTAGAGGTACACATACAAGGGGCTAGCCCAAGTTCTTCAAAATGCTCATGGTGGTACAAAGCCCTAGATTTGATCCCTGGAGGAGGGGGTGCCTCCAGACACCAACAAAAGGCTCAGAGCTCATAGTTCCTCACTGACAGGCTTCAATTCTTCTCTAAATGGCTAAGGGTTAGCACACAAGAGCCATGTCCTCACCAGCGGAGCCCACAGAAGCCTGATACCCTCCGTTCTTTCCACTGAGCCTTTAGCTGAGGTGTTCTGATGCGGTGCCTTAGAGCGTGTGGCTCCTTCAGAAAGCAGGTGAGCTCTGCCACCATCCCTTGACCTGGGCCTCGTAGGGCACCTGAAAGTAACAAGTAGGGGTAGGGTGGATGTCCCAAGAGCAATAGTCTCAGGGGAACTGGTGGCACAGCTGCCCATCCCTCCCCACCCACCGCCTAAGTAGAGACCTGAGCCCAAGCAGGAGGAGTAGCAAGGGTCCACTAGGACAGAGCAGGCAGGTGGCCACAGTGGAGGGTACAGCAGTGCTCCACATGAATGCAGAGCCCAACAGGAAAGAACCATGAGGAAGCTCAAAGCAAATAGGGCTTCTCCGGGACATGCCTCACCAGGGCTTCCTCCCCCTTGCCCACCATCCTGGCCCAATATTAACCTATTTTTTAAGGGATATGCAAATCTGGGAAACACTCTCTGGGGTCAGAGTGAACTCCCAGTTTTCCCTTAATCTATAGCAGAGCTGTGCTATGGGCCTGTCAGATGTATAGTTCCTATGCTGCATGCGACTGCCCCGAGCTGAGTATATCCTTGAGTTAGGGGAAAAGAGCACTCAGGTTTGTAGGTTAACAGCATCACCTTATGGTCTCATTCTGGGCAGAATACAAAGACAAGAGGCAAGGTATTTCTATGCTGCTTTATTTCTGTAAGGATACACAAACATTGGATAATAAGAGCTAATGACAAAATGTAAAAATGAGGCATCAGTTCTACATCCACTCCTACAAGAACATTAATATGTACTGTCATTACATGTTTACTTTGGGTACTGTCATGTGATAGTATGTAATATAATAAGGGAGGATACAGTGAGTAGGTGTTCCTGCCTCTCAGGGATGCAGGAGATGGAAATTGGGTTCTGCTTGTGAGGGCAGTGGCCTCCCCACTTCCCCAGAGAGTCAGCTAAGCTCTTGAGGAGACGTCCTAGGAATCACGGCAGAGGGGATTCTGCAACCCTCTTGAACACACAGACAAAGAGCAGACAACTACTATGTCACAAGGGATTCAACTTGTCACGGTTTCAAAATGTCAGATCCACATGAACAACACCCTGACGCCTGCTCAGCTACCCCTCTTGAGTTTTGCAGTCACTGCTGGAGGATGAATATCAAGACCGCAGGACTATCTGAGGGGGCTCAAATATTGTCATGCAAGTTTCCAAACTCATAAACTATTTGACTATTAATTAAAACAAAAATATCGTTAATTAAAAAAAATTAAAAAGACAGCAGGGTTAGTTCTGTTAAGCCCCCAGCAGTATTCACTGGGATGCTGCCGCTCTAACACGGGCTCCTTTCCTCCGATCTGCTCACACACTCCTGTGGGTTCCACGCTGTGAAGCAGGAACGCACAGAACACATGCCACACACGGAAAGCGAATCCCAGTGTGCGGAAATGGTCAGCTGGAAATTACAGCTAAGTCTAAATGTTAACGTTTTGGAAATTCTTGTTAGTCATGTAAAAGCACAAAAGAACAGAAGAAGGGTCAGAGTTTTAACTAGGAAGCTAAACCATGCATCCCAGCAAGTTCGTTTTCTGCTCACAGAAGAAAGTGAGCAGCGAGTTGGAGCAGCCGCTGCAACTCTTGCACGTCTTCTGACTGCATGATGGGTCCCCACTGAGCCACGAAGGGCAGTCAGCAGGACTTTGTCGCTTATGCTTCTTGCTTACATCATGAAGTGGCTACATGGTTAGTACTTTTCTGCTCTATGATAAACATGCAGAAGAGTCAATCTATCTAAATTTTCATTTCTTCATTGCAGCTATAGAAAAATTAAGTTTGCTGCAACTTTGCTTTTGGCTAAATACTAATATGATCACTGTGTGCCCTTATTTGAGTAATACTGTAAAATGGGAGAAAAGACACAAGGAACAACTTTAAGAGGTGAAAGAGCACTCCTGTCCCATTGATGGTGTAGGGCAGAGAGAGCAAGGACACAAATAACATGATGCAAATTCCATTTTACAGGACAGGAGCCCCTGTCACTTTACAGCTTTTTGGCACAGTCAGGGCAATACACCTGCTCCTGGTGATAAACAAAGCGCTTGTTGGCCAGATTCACGGAGCATTTTTTGCAGTGGAAGCAGTAGTCGTGCCAGGATTGTCCTTCATAGGCCACCACACTGGAGCCTTTACCAAACCCTGTGGAGAAACAAAAGAAAACGAGAGAGATAGTTGAATGAATACAGGTGAGGAAGCAGACATTCAAAGCTAAAATGATGACTTGCCCCAGTCAGAGCCAGCAAGCGCACAGAGCCAACGTCTGCATGGCTCCCAGGCCCCCCCTCCACCACACACTGTCCCCCATGCTGCCACTGTGCCCCATGCTGCCGCAAGCCTGCTACGGCTCTCAAGGACCTGAGAGGATGCCGGAGCTCAGCCAAGGGCTTCTCTGAGGTAAGGAACCCTCATTCCCACACCACCACTATCACCCTGTGGCGCGCACAGACCTCCCACCATAACCAGTTTCTTTGATTTAGGTCAAGGCCATGGCATCAAAGTGGCCACCAGGAGGCAAACTTGGGCTGTTCGTGAGGTCTGCACTTACCGGGCCTCGAGGAGCTGCTAAGCTTCGATTTTTTCTATAAAGAACCACCACCCATGAGGGACAAGTCCTTTCTCCACCCGGATGCCTGCCCCGGAGGTTGGCGCTGGGAAACAGGGTGAGAGGCAAGCGTTTCCCGTGGCACACTGGGGGCTTCCTAGCTTTAGACACTGGGTGGCTCACTCTTGACACAGTCCTTTTCCCTGAGGATGGCAAAAGTCTTCTCAAATGTACATTTCAAGGCTCCCCGGGGAAATGGGAAAGTTGGAGGTAGGGGGAAAGGGCCCAGGGCACGTGGATCGCGGCCGCGAGATGAGGGATGAAGTGATAAGCTTGGCTTCTGATCACAAAAAATTTTTTTAAAAAAACCCACTAAAAATACCCCTGCCAACAGGCACCTCAACACTAGCCTTCAGTTATGGGTTGTTGTGACACACCAGGTTATCGCTCTCCGGCCTCCCTGGCCCTCCCCGACCCCACCCCACCCCTCCCCCACCCACCTCCCTTTTCCAAGCCCCTCCCCATCCTTCAATCCCCCCACTCCCTCTTTGCAGTGCCTGACTGTGGCCCAAGGTTCTCAGGCCTGTGAACTTCTGGCATTATTAGTCAGCAGTAGTCATGAAGTGTTCTGTAGTGCAAAAGCTAGCCTGGCCTGCAGAAGAATCCGAACTGTTGGGGGACCTTTAGAACCACATTGGCAGGGAGAGAAGGGCATTCTCTGGGGGCCTTTGTGGATGAAACCGACGACACAGGAAAATGAGAGGTGGTTATCATGCGCAACACCTAGCCTGGCAGACTTAGCAAGGACTCTTTAAGCCTACCAGTGATGGGGTTCTTGCATCCAGCACACTTCTTGGCCACAAAGTTCTTGTAGCAATCCACGCAGTAATACTGGTCCTCCACAGCGGTGAAACGCTGCCCAGCCAGCTTCTTAGAGCAGGTAACACACACAAAGCAATCGGCATGCCAGGGCTGATCCTGGTAAGTGATTCCTCCAGATGTGATGGCCTAGACCAGGGAGTGTAGCACCGGATTCAGATTCAACAACCATTTTGTTGAATGCCTACCACAAGCCAGGCACTGTGCTGGGCGCTTTGGTTTACAGTATCTCATTTAATCTCCACTACGGCCATGGGAGGCAGGTGCCATTATTATCCCCAATTTACAGGTGAAGACACGAAGGGCTGGGGAAGATGAGCCCCTTGGCAAGGTGACACTGCGACCGAGTGGGGGAGGCTGGCCTCAAGAGCCAGGGCTGCCCTCCCCACCGCCACCAGACAGTCTGCATTCTCATGCCTTGTCTCCTCATCTGTAAACTAGGCATAATAATTCCTACGTCACAGGGCCGTCGTGAGGATGGAATGGGATAGTGTGTGTGCAAGTGCTCTGCAAACTGTCCGCATGTCTAGAAACAGCAGTCACCGCAAGTCCCTTGCCAAAGTACCTTGTTACACTTCACGCAGTGCTTGGCAAACTTGGTCTCGTGACAAGTCACGCAGTAGAAGTCCTCCCCTTTTGGGAAGAAGCTTCCGGTCCCAATGACTTGCTTGCAGTTGCTGCAGGTGAAGCAGTCTTTGTGCCAGACGGTGCCCTTGTACTCCACATTCTGGTCTCCTGCAGGGGAAAACAGGTTGCTAGCCCCACGGACAGGCTCTGCAGGGGGCTGCATCCACTCAGCCCCTTCCCTGGGCCCTCCAGAGCTGGGGGGATGCAGGCCCTGCAGTCACTGGCCTCACACCTCCAACTAACCCGAACCCCGAGCTCCGGGCCGGGGTGTCCACCCGGGACTGGTGGGCGGGGCCCCAGCAGTATGATTTCCTAAGAGAGGCTGAATTCCCACTCCCCCACCTCTACCCACTGCCTGGACTAAGACAGTCAACTATGGGGGCTGCCTGACCCCTGATCCCGAAATATGCCCTGAGGGGAAGCACGCCTGGATCACTTACTGCACCCAAACGAGAAAGCGCTACATACTGTTCACTTCATTCTCTTGCCACAGGCTGTTTTCGCCAGTGTTCTTTAGTCTCCAAGTGTGTGCGTGTGTGCGAGCATATATGTGTACGATATATACGTGTAGGTATATGTGTACATATATATGCTAAAGTCTCAAAGCAGCTCACAGAAACATTAGCCCCCTGGTGCCAAGCAAGCCCATATCATGTCTGCCCACAGGGCTCCTCCCTGGCAGTCTGGGTGGGAGGGGGACAGTACCTGCTACAATGGCCTTGAAGCACCCTTTGCACTTGGGGGAGTCCTCCCGAGTGGCACACTTGTTGCACAGGATCTTGTTGTCCTTGGACACAAAGGTCTCGCTGGCCAAGGGGTGAAGGCACTTGGCACAGCGAAAGCAGGTGTCGTGCCAGTAGCGGTTTTTGTAGTGCACCTCCTAGGAAGCAAGCAAAGCAGGGAGGCCCCTGTGAGGGGCATGGAGGCAGGGGCACCTGGTGTCCCCGGGCTCACCACCCAGTGACACACTGGCTCACACCTAGGGCAACCTGAGCTGAGGGTCCTTTAAAGTGGTGAGAGGGACACTGGAATGAGGAGGAAACCTCAGAATTCCCAGGGGACTTAAAAGTGCAAGCTGAGCATCTCTAATCCCCAAATGTTCCAAAGCCTGAAACTGTGAGTGTGAGCACAGGGCCACAAGTTGGAAAATTCCACACTTGACCTCATTTGCTGAGTTGCAGCCAAAACAGGCACTTAAGACACAATTTATTCAGTGTCCCCAAGCTGTGATGCACAAACTTTGTTTCAGGTACACAATTAAAATATTGCTTAAAATTACCTTCAGCCTCTGTAGGTAAGGCATACATGAAACATAAATGAATTTCCTGTTTAGTCTCATGTCTTATCCCCAAGTTGTCTCATTACATATATGCAAATTATTCCACAATTTTTTAAATGCAGAATCTGAAGCATTTCTGCTCCCAAGTATTTCACAGAAGGGAATTCAACCAGTACGAGCAAAAGAGCTGACATAGGCCTCAGGGTCAATCTAGCCCAACAGGCTGGGGCGAGAGGCAGGAGGACCAGGAATGCCTTCAGGAAGCAGAGATTCCCTCTAGGCCTCATGGCTGCCGTGAGGAGAACTCTTAAAGGTGCCTGCTGTTGTCGGGGCAGCAGGAAATCCACGCCCCAAAGCCCAGCTTGCATTGCTGACCCCCGGGGAGGCCCAATACCTTGGAGTCGGCGCCGATGGGCTTGCGGCACTCCACACAGGTGTTGGCACAGAACTTGTCAAAGCACTTCAGGCAGCAGTGGTGGCCATCCTTCTGCACGTACTTCTTCCCCTGCAAAGGGTCCCTGCAGTAGTGGCAGTCGAATTTCTCAGCCATGGTGCCCACCTTATAGCTGGAGGGACCTACAGGGGCAAGCAGGAAGACGAAATGAGCAAGGGGAGTGCCAGAGCACTTGGCACAGTGGTGCTGCACATGGCCAAGAAGACACTTCAAGTTGGCATACTCCCAGAGCCCAGAGGGCACTCAACACTGGCCGGCCGGGAGACCCCGGCAACTGACACGTCACTTCAACTCCCAGGAAGCCACAGCCTTGGAGCTGAGCTGAGCTGAGCTTCTCGAGGGCCGGAGGCCAAGGGCTGGCGCCTCCCTGAGGAGACAGCACAAGCCCCTGCTTGGATGTATCACTGTGCTGACTCACAAAGGACACTGGCCGGGTCACCACATAGACTCTGGGAAGCGTGCGATTGTGAGCAGAGACCTGACAGAAGAGAGGGCTGAGGCAGCAGCTGAGGCAAGCAAAAGGAAACTGCTCTGCGGGAATAAAGACCTGGGCAGCGGAAGGCTTCTCACAGGAACAGGGAGGCAGGCCCTCTGCCCACGCGCTGCCTGCCGCAAGCAAGCCAGTAGCCTCCCTGCCAGCTTTTGTCACTTTCACTGTCACTTTTGCTGGGGGAAAGTATTCTCCAGAGGCGTCACTTTCCTCCTTCCTATATGTTTCTAGGCGTCCGAACAAAACCTTAACAGCTGCCTCTACCCCACTAGGCACGCGAACAGTCCTCACTCATTAAAAATGCTTAAATGTATTTAAAATCAGGCAGAAACCACTCTAGTCCATGGAGAGACCCCAAACATTTATTCCAGAAAGTGTGCTGATTTTTGGGGCCTGACCTGTAGGGCAGAGGAGTACTTATCTACACAGCCTTTTTGACTGGCACCAGCACATTTTGAAAGTGAATTACTTATGACAGTAACACGTAGTCCTGTGACTTATCAAAATCGAACCCTCATGACACGAGAGAATCAGTTATATTCACTTTGGGACATTGACCGTTTTAAATGCTGCAAATTTAAAGTATGCTCTGGAAAAAAAAATGCCTGACAAAGGGTGAAGCTGACTGTTCCAAGAATCCCCCAATTCCCTGCCTCTAGATAACTCCAGCATTTCCCGACCCAAGACTGCCAAGGCCCTCCGCAGCCCTTTTGCCAAGTTATCGTCCACACAAACTTGCCACCAACAAAGGTACCCAATGTACGCCGCTAGTAGCTCTCAACTTCTTTCCATGCTAATTCTGCATGTTAATTTTTCTCCTCTGTCTGAAAAAGAAAATTTACAAAAGCAGGTAGCAATTGTTTAATCTGTGAAAGAAACAGAAGAGTTGAGGCTACTGAATGCAAACCATACACACACACACACACACACACACACACACACACACACACACACACTTATCAAACACCTAGCAGCGAGTATCATGGCAGAGGAAGGACCAGGGAAAAATAACGAGCAGTCAGCGGCCTGCTACTCACCGTTGCGCAGCTCTTCTGCCAAGCGAACAGCCCAGACTCCTGCTTTGGGTTCCATTCCCAGGTTTTTTTATACAAGCACATGTCCAAGCTGTTTGGGCCCCGTTGCCCAAGCAACCAAATAGCAGAGAGTGAGCTAAGGAAACCACACCCTGCATGTGGGAACCCGCCTGGGCCAAGGCTGCTGCTGGACTCTCACTCAAACCAGCAGGGTTCTCTCCAGCCATCCTGCAAACAGGTGAAACCAGGCCCGGAACAAACACACACGCTAGCTGCCTCCCCCCAGATATGCACACACACAGACCCCTCATCTCCAGAGCTGGCATGAGAAGGAAATGAGCGGCATTCTTTACAAGGACAGTTGCTGGAGACAGTTGTGTCACAGTCAGGAGACTAAGACCAGAGGATAGCTCTGACTTGCCTTTTCCCCAAAAAGAACACCAGGATGTTCCCCTACGTGACACGGGTAGAAACCAAATGTACACAATGAACGCAGGGCCAAGCCCCTGGGACTCTGTGCAGTTTATGTGAAGCAGCTGTTCAAGTGCCCATGGCCTCCATGCCAAGGACAAAAGTGTCTGTCATCATGCCACGGTGAGGAAAACTCACTGTTGCTCTTTCCTGATCATGTACAATCCTTGGCTTTCCTTTGCCATATTGAAATTATGCCCTCTACAATGATTTGCTGTCTTGTTACAAGCTCAGTGAAAAAGCCAAATATATCTCCAGTAAGAATAAATGCCAGATAAATTAAATTAAATGCCAGATAAATAATAAATGCCAAATAATAATAATAATAATAAATGCTAAATAGATGAAATGAACTTATCAGTGGCTCCAAAGTGTCATTTGGCAGGAAAACAGAATTTATAAGATTTGCTTTCTGGGTGGCTATAACCATGGATGGATTAGCCCCTCTGAGACCATGTTCTCTGACCATGTTTGAATATCCTTTTCTCCTACACTGAGATCTCGATTTAGAATGCAGCTTTGAGCATACTCACTTTCGCATCACTCTCTTTTGATGCCTATTAAGGCAGAAACGGCTTCCAAATATTTCTGTATTCAAGTATTCAGAGTCCTCCCGGGGGGGGGGGTCCCATTTCTTGATGTTTCTAAATCCTTGCTTTATGGTTAAGTACAAGTATTAGTGTCATACTCAAGAATAAATAATTCTAGAGAACACAATGAATTCCATTTAGAGCTATCATCTGTGAATTCTGAGGAAAAGAAAAACTACCGTGCTTCTCATACCAAAGAGATCTTGTCTACCACGCCTTTCTGACTTTACATGCACGAACTTCCAGAATGGTTAGCTCGCTTTCTCAGTTCTAGAACGTGACTCTCTCAGTGCCTAAGGCATCCAAATGATGAAATAATCCAAAGTTCACCAATGAACATGGACATACCAAAGTGTGTAGAAAACATTATTCAAGAAAGCTTCATACTACTGTATTGTTCCTGTAATACAGCGTCTATGCAAAAGGAACATCAATAACCCCAAGTGAATGATAAAGAAGGGCTCTTTGGTAGTGTGAGTCTCAGCTTTAGGACTGTTCCCCACGTATGCGCAATCCAGGCACTCCTTCTATTCCCCACCTCTGTATACTTATATCCCGCCTATTTTGATGGAGAAACAAAATTTCAAAGGCATATTTTATAACTGATTTCAACAGTTGGATTAAATCATTTTTATGTATGTGGTAACACTTATTAATCCCGATAAAATAGACTCTTCTAAAAATGTTGGCTTTATTGCCTAATAAGTTAACAGGCTACAAATCCTTCAAGTATGTCAACAATGTCTATGTCAAATTCATGAACTTTAGTACATTTTTTTTTGCAAGAAATCTAATCGGATAGAACTTTGGGCAACCTGAATTAGCTCACCTCCTATTTTTCTAACTCTGTTTATTTGGTACAAAAACTTTTTAAACCCTCATAACTGCTTTGGAAGTTAGAGCAATACATTCCTGATGAGATATCGTTTAAAAATGTATATAGAATATGAATTATTTGTATACATATTCTGTATACATTTTGCTAGTACTTATCTTTAAGGGAATAACAACTCTAAGAGCACAGCTGATAAATGACAATGGTGACATAGACTTCTGTAAAGGCCAGCAAACATTCCAAGTGGCCGGCACTTGGGAGAATGAGCCACAGTTGAGCTTTGGCTTCACAGGGAAAGAAAAGCTTACATTTCATCTCTCGCTTGCATTTTGTTAGAAATAATCACAGAAAAGAGAAAATGGATGTGGCATTTAACCCCTTACGGGGTCTCTCTTTCCTCTTACTGAATCACATTCTTAAGCATTTATCTCTTAAGTAATACTTTTATATTCCCTTTGCAATAGCTAAGTACGTGAAATGTGAAGCCTTTTAACTTTTCAGACTTATGTTTGCCTTCACTTGTTATCCTGGACAAGAAATGTCACCCATTATTCAGTGAAACATTTGCAACAAGAGCTACATGCCACTTCCCTTACCTCCTGTTTCTGGGGAGGACATGTCTCCTTTATGCTGGGCTCTCTGGCTTATTTTAACGTCTTGATGTGGCCCTCCTCTGTACCTACTAGTGAGAATTTTCTACCACACAAAATTCAGCCACTACACTTGGAGCCCAAGTATCTAATCCAGGACCTTAAACAAAGGAGTAACTAAGTACATCCTGCTAAATGACAGATGGAGATAAGTCACCACCAAGTTTCCAAAACTCCAGTGTAGAAGGTCACTCGAAATGGATTATGATCCAATGATCAGAGCTTCTATTTCATCTTTACAAAGCCCATTTCAAGGCTGGGGAGATAGCCTGGTGGTCTAAGCACCTGCCTGGCAAGCACAAGGACCCAAGTTCAATCCCCAGTACCACATGCTGTGCCAACCCTGGAATCCTGGGTGCGCCGCGCTGGCCACCGAGACCCCACGTGCTAGCACATGCCTGTAATCCCAGTACTGGGAAGGCTGAGACAGGAGAATCACTATGAGTCTGAGCTGCATAGCGAGATCCTGTATCAAGTAAATAAATAAATAAGATTTTTTAAAAATTAAAAACCCATTACAGGGCAATACTGACTTTCCTCCTGTGAGGTCTTCCCTCATTTTCATGGACCTGTTCTCTGCTTTCGTGAACTAGTGACCTAATACAAAACAACACGCTATTGCCTGTTTTAAAAATCAAATCCTATGATTCTAAGGTGCCAAATTCTAACCCACAACTTTCAGTTACCTGAGTTGTCCCCTGATTCTTTAAAACAGAAATCTTTCATACAGATACATTTAATACAAGGCATTGTAGAAGCTTAGTTAAAAATGCAGTTGGAATTGTGACCAGGTGGTCACATTTGAGGTGTGTGTTCTAAGATGGTATTGTGGCTTTCTTTCTATGCCTGCTGCAAAAGAAGTATTTTTCGTTGAACTATGTTCCTCTTTTTGAAGAAAACTTCTTGATCTACATCCAACATGTTAAGAGGTCCTTACAGAAACCTCAGTATCTCAATGAAAAGTTTTGGCTCTCAATTTACTCACATATACATACAAGTAATATAACATTGCAACATTTGTTTTCCACTCTAAATCTTTCATTAGAGAAGAT